TAGGGAAACATTTATTCGTTAAAGGAAAATGGCTGCATTGAACTTATTAAAGTGAATATCTTTACAAATGATTCCAAGATATCATTCTGATGCTTTTTATGATACTGGTTTCCATTTATCACCAGAGTCTGCCCTTTCCAGCTAATGTGTACACCTAATGAAACCACAGGACATGATGTATGTTCATACAGGAATTATACTGAATTTGGAAGAGACGGTGGCTAAATGAATAATTAGCCAGTTAAGCAGTGGATAATGAAGACACCTTTTTTTTATTTTTTTGGAAAGGATGATGTGCTGGCTCCGTACTGGCTCATTGTGTCTCAAAAATAAATACCTAATGCACTCCTGGGGATTTGATTTAGGTGATAATTTGAATAAACATTTCCTCGAGAAGCAACAGTGCCTAACTTCTGTTGCATGTGCTGCTGTTGTAGTTGTCAAAGTTGTCATGTTTCCCAAAAGCAGAGTCCAATCATTCGTAACCGCTTTCATAATATCGTGTAGCCGAAACCAGGACTGCACCGCTGTAGTTAGAAGCATGTTTGTCATTGATTGCATCGCTGTCAAGAAGATAACATTAATTTGTCAGGTCATTAAAAAGCCAACAACTTTAAATTAGCCCAATAGGAGTAAGAAAAAAATGACTCATTTATTTTGTGGGCAACACAGCGGCGAGGATTTAGGGAAGGAAAACATGATAAAAACAATCACAACTGCGTTTTCAGATAACATTCTGACTGTTACAGCATTCTTTCTCTTGCTTATTTCATTATAGGCATTTCCTCTACAAATAACAGGCGCTTCCCAATGCAAACAGAATATTAATGTGTGAACAGCGTACTGAAAAGGTTCAGACAAACTGCTGTGCCTGCAGGATGCCAGCTGTTCGCATGTGGGTGGACGTTAGGCAACAGCATTATTAACATCCTCCCCCTCATCTGGATGTTTTCTCTTTTCAGCATGTATAGTAATGCCATAGGATGACAGAAGGTTTTTATCATTCATTATGATTTTACATTTAGTTTTTTTTTACGTAGAGATTTTATTGATTCATTGTCCAAAGGTGTAGTGCCAACTGGGAGCTCTGGAATCCCAGAGTGTCAAACTGGACGCTTAAGTTTTCTATTTGTACAAATAGCGGTTTTAAAGAGAGCACATTTGTTGAAAAGTCTTCTTTGTGGCTCAGTTGAGTTTCTCTTTCTCATATAATGAATTCCTGGGACTGTTAACCCCAGCACTCAGTGTTAGATTTGTCATTTACGTGTTTCATTTCAAACTGTGGTTTAGGATGTGTAATATGAAACTGTGTTTGATGACCACCAGTTAACCCAAAGCAGTAAAATCCACCAAAAGAATATTCAGTGATCTCCTCTCTGGAAAAATGAGGGAAGTACCTACATAGAATAGGAATAAAAAATCTGCTGCAATGTGATTACACACACACACACACACACAAGGACTTCCATAAAATGCAATATAAATATTAAAGCACTTTGGAAAGATAAATCGTATTTGAGACTAGGTCAAGGGGTGACATAGCACATTGCAAGCATGTAACAGAGCTCCTCTTGATTTGTAGGACTGTAGGTGCTAAAGAGCGCATACACAAAGAGGGGAAGGACCAATGGGATAGCTGAGGCTTAAATACTTCCAGAGCAGCGTGCCAGTCGTCTTTATGATGCCAGTCAGTGTGATGGTGGGCCTCGGGGATTACTCCAGACAGACAGCTCAGTAAGACAACTGATTAAATAGTAGTGAGAAGAGAGAAAATGTTTAATTCAGCCATATTTAGTATTCATGGGATGGAAAACCATACAAGAGTTCACCTTGAGGGGTCATCCGGAGAGAAGGTCCAGAATCCCAAAGAGCGGCTAGGCCAAGTTTCCACAGAACACTTGGAAACACAGCTGATTGTGTTTTTAATTGCTTTGATTATCAAGTTTACTTTAGCTGAATTGAAAATGGTAATGCAGCACGCGGTGAACTGACAGACTGATATGCTTGGAAAATGAGTTCTGTTTTGCAGCTCTGGTGACATTGTGATAGATTTGCCACAATAATCAATGCTGAACCTCCAGTCTGGGATATAAATTAATACATTCCTCACACATTCAATGTACTGTATCATTACAATTTACTATAATATGCTTGCCTGCATGTTTACGGCATCATGGAGTGTCATACAAAACGCAGTGAAAGATTGCACAGATGATTGCGTGCATAAATAATATTTTATTATAGTCATAATTATCTGCATATGACACCACATTTGCACTATGCTCAGAAATAGCTAGAGAAAAGTACTACTGTGCTGCAAAGAAAGACACAGGATGAGTCATAGTTTTTCCAAAAGGAGTCTGTACAGACTGAAATGTGAACTATGTATTATGTGCAACAACTGCAAAGAACAATGCATGTCGTTCATGTGAGCTGCAGAACAATCTGGTATGAAACCATCTTTTTCATGACTGTGAAGATATAAGCAAAAGTTTGGAAGCTGTTCATTGTGTGTTCCTCTCAAAACCTTCTGTTCAGTGTTTGCGGCTTCAAGTAATTCAAAACAATACTATTTATATTAGCTTGGCTCTGTGAAGGAGTGCCAGCTATAGAGACATGATGAAATCCCTATGTTAAAATACCCCACCATGACGCTCAAAACTAATTCAATTATATGCATGACCAGTTCAATAGACCTACAGAATTGGGTTATTGTCTGAAATGATGAAAAAAGAAAAATACTAGTAAATCATGTGTGAATGAAGTGTAATGTAAAAATGATTTTCACAAAGAGTTGCCAAAATGGGTTTCAAGAACAAGGGATAACAAATGATTTCTTCAGTCATCTTCCAAGCTATTTACTCTTCATCAACTAGAAATTCTATTTACAATGAATCTTCAAAAGCATTTCATCATTGCTATGGTGCCTATAGTGGGGGAGATAAAATGGTGTCGTTCCAAGTAGGGCAAACAAGAGAAAACAGTGAAAACAGCATAGTGTAAACTTTTTTTTTTTGCAGATTCAGACTCCATCTGCTGTAAAAGCTGCCTTTATTCAAAAGAACTATGCATCATGTGCTGCTCTGAAGGAGGAACTATTTCACATACATGCAGTATTTTCTCCTTCTTTCATCCTATCGGCCTGCTCATTAAATCAAGGCAACATGTTTGGGCTTTGATCGATAGCTCATTGCATCAAACACGGGATGTGAATACATGTGTGGAAAGTCAATACAGGTGATGAGCTTCGTGATGAGACCTGGGATATTCCTGAAATGTCAGTGGGTCACAGTTTCCAAAAGCAAAGTTGATTGATTCAGAAGCTGAAAGTCCTCTTTACGATTCAGCTTCAGTGTCGACCCAGGAAGTCAACAGCAGGGATTTAAAAAAAAAAGAGGTACACAACAGCCTCACCAACAATCTTAGCCATTTAGTTACAGCTCGCTTCCCCGCTTTCATTTAATGTGAAAATATTAATATGTCACAGAACAATGAGACGCTGTGAGGCAAGTAAGTGGAGGGAAATGAATGCCACCATTGCCCCAACCTTCACCCCAGCACCATCCTGCGTCTGCAGTTTTGTGATAATGATGTTAGAGTCACAGAGGCCCCTGAGAAAGGAAAGCACCCCATAAATTTCCAGATCTGCAGAACCTTGATCTGCTGAACCATCTCATTGGCATGGAGCTCAAACTCACTGTGTCCAGATAGGAAGGATAATCATCCTACTTCTATAAAATGCTCAGAGTAGCTATATATAAGTCGTGTTACTTCCCTGGAAGTTGAAGGGTAGTGCCGGTGATAATTTTTCATTGCTTTGGTTCTACACTCCAAAAATGAACTGAAGTAATGACACTGGGGCTGATTCCCACCTCTAAGTCATTGTTTTTTAAAATGTACACAGTGTAGAAATGTTGTCCCTGTAGGGTTTTCTTGAGGAAAGAGTGGTTGAACCGGATGAGTCTCATCACATGACAACAGTCTGTTCTCATGTCCTGAACTTTTTTTTTTGTTAGGGGAGAGGGTCTTCATTCCAAAGCGGTTAGCAAACAACCCCTAATTTTAAAAGACAATATTCAAGGGCAATGAAACAAACATCTAAAAAATTAAAAGTTCTCTGCAGCCGAAGCCTGGGAGAGCTTCACCAGGAAACATGTTATGTGTGGATTATAAAATTCAGTTATAACCAGCGAGAACCAAACATATAGATATTTTATAGTTTATTCTAATTGCCTTCAACCTTTTCGTCTTCCTACAATGCATCCATTCATCTGACATTAGTGTAAACATGACCAAATAAAAACCATCTAGCCGCACAGTCACTGCTTCATTTCAGATAGAAGGTGCTCGAGTTCAGAGATAAACGGAACAAACATTTGCCACATAAATAAGCATGGAGAATAAAGAAACTGAAGGTCAGATACAAGTAGTATTAATGATCTGAGCTGCAGCTGCAGTACTAGTCAATAACACTGCTGCACTGCCTAAGACCTGTATTGAAGACAATGAAGCTGAAACTATTAGAACAAACATATTTAATGCGGCTACATTAGGCAGGTAGAAATCAGTAATGAACCTCTGATGGAGGGTGCGGGCGGCAATGACTAAGCCGCCGTTTTCCACTTGGCTATCCACAGTCATACCTGCCCTTAGTTGGAACAGCAGTCATTTTATCAGGATCATATACTGGAATATCATAAGCGCTATCCATCTGTTCAGCTACTCAAGGAATGAAGGTTGAGGACATTTACAGTGTGCAAGAGTAAGCAAAGGAGCACTAAAAAGCTTTCTAGTTCGCCATAAGTCAAACATTCCTTGGCAAGTTTCCTTGGAATCAACACTTTGGCATTTTGAAGTCAATCTTAGGGACATGTCTGCTGTCCTGTCCCTCTACAACGACATACTGCTGCGTAGTTATGGCGATGAAGGACTGAACACGCTCACCAGCAAGAAAAAAGTTGAAAGTTGTCTGTGCATGAAATAAATCAAATTAAAAGGTGTTGAAGAAAACCACCTCTGTCTTTATTGAAGAAGAAAAAGAAAACATTCACAACCGATTTCTTACAAAAGCTGGCATTCCATACTCCACTGGTGTTGTCTCGCCATGATGTACATCATTGTGGCAGCAACTAATCTGTCCTCAAACAGACTAGTCAGAATAACAAGACAAAATAAATCCAGTTGCTGTTTAATCACAGCCATATGTGTAGTACAGTAGTCAGCTGACTGATTCTACTTAGAGACCTTCTGGTAGAAATGCTAACTAGGGAAAGGTTATTAGACCAAGAGATGCTGAACGAGGGGTTACAAGAGGTTACTCATGTTAATTTAGAATATTAAGTCCTAAGAGAGGCACCTAGGAGTCAAGCTTTCCTTAATAAACAAACACAAGGGTCCTCTGATGAGACTTCTAAAGACCTAAGTTAAAAATCCTTCCACTTGGGCAATTAGACCTCTGACCAGAATGAGCATAAAACCCTCTGAAGGCGAAACGAGAACCCATCAGGACGAGCATCAGAACCGTCAGATGACCAGCAGCTCCCAGAACATCAGAGGCTTGAGACTAAAAGCAGGATAAGCAACCCCTCCTCACAGCCATCTCTGGATCTAGTATCTACTCATTAATTAGCATTTCTAGGAAGAAAAAAAATTGATTAAACTGATGTACAAACGACATAATAAATGGAGAAGTGTGGGTTGTTTAAGAGCTTGAAACACTGCTGCTGAAAGGCACAAGGCCACAGATATCAAATCTACATGGCTGATTCATTGCAGTTTTTAAAAAAAAAACCACAATTTTCACATTTGATCCAAATAACAGCTGAAACTGTGTTAATTAAATCATTAATTTACTACTCCTACATCTTTCTTTAATGTGTCTTTTAGATTCAAGTTATGCTTTGTGTCCGTTTTAAACAGGTTAACATCCCGTCGTCACAGATAACATCTGAGGTTGCCATGTTTGCCGGATTTCATTATATAATGCTGCCATCTGCTGGGCATCACAGAACAAACTAGTCTGCAAGCAAACTCGATCTAATACAAAAATATAAAATTAGCATTGTCTTCAAGTTGTGTGTCCTTGTTATTTCCTTTCATCATACAACCTTGTATGAACGTAAACCTCATTAAGTCTTCAAGTACAGTTGTAACATCAAAGCTCCCAGGACATGGCCGTGCTTTCATTAGCTTTATTAGTTAATTTTCAGCAGAGTCCAACCTGCTCGGTCAGGGTTCAAACTCCTCTGAGGAGATCCTTTCTATAAGATATGTGTGTGTATGTGACAACAAGAGAAGGATACAGTATGAGTGCTTACTGTACGCAGGAGGTCATGTGTGAGCACTTTGCTAATGAAACCAGCACGAAAATATCAATCAATACCATATATTTGATATGATCCCAGAGTAATACAATCAACATATACATCTATAGGAATGTTCTCTTTTAAATTTCCATCTCAGTCTTGAGGGGGCAGAATTAAGATTCACGTTCAATATCCACACGTTTTAATTGCCAGATTGTAATCCTCAATAACGTCCAATTTATCTAACAGCTAATCATTCAAAAGAAAATTAGAGAAAGGCTTTCCATGGCTATGGTATCTATAATTCATAAGAAGAAAATCAACAGATTTCAAAAACAGATATCCAGCATATTGTTGACTATGTTGTCCAATTATTAAAGCGGTATCAGACCTGAAAATCCTATAATAGCCTGTTTGTAATACACACTGGGGCCATTTGAGAAAAGAAACACCTAGGGCAAGGTGTGATCTGCGGCACATGCAGGAGTATTAAAATTGCAAATATAACTGAAGTCCTTGAGACAACTCTTTCTAATGCTTCTTTTTGAAAAATATGCCTATTAAGTAAAACGAATGAGAACACTGTTTCCCCAAATTGCAGAATCAGGCTACGAATGTGTGCTTCCATGTGATACAAAAACATTCATAACAAATGCATCTCCATGTTTAACCTAAAAGTTCTTCTCAGACAAAGTGACTTCCCCGACAAGGCACACGTTAAATCACTACAAATTTATTCTCGAGGTCTGACCACTACCTCCCTTCAATCCCGAAATATATCTGAAAGACATCACAACAGCCTTTCTCATTTAGGAACTGATAGAGCTGCCCAAGGTCCATGTGATTACCTCTGTTCCCATGGGGGTCAAACATTGCCTCTTCAAAGCCGGTGAATTTGCGCAGGCAGTCTAAACTTTCAACAATCCCGCTGCCCTCGCCCTGACGATCAAGGGGAATATCCTCTCTATGTCGAATCATGATCTTCTTCCATGTCAGAGCCTTGACTCTGCGAAATGGGAAAAAGTTTGGAAAAAAATAATAAACTTGGCACCTCACCCGGCTTCTAACTGTGACCTCAGCTGCTAAAAATAACAACACTCAAGTTACCTGGACCAGAACTCCTCACAGGCAGATTGAGGACCTTCCACGCACACAATACCAGGCTTCCCAGGCATGCTGAATCCTGACAGGCACAGCTCCTTGGACCACTCCAAGATGTTCTTCCGCTTCGACTTGTTATAGATGTGGTGGCTGTAGATCCACAGTCGGCTGAAAACTTCCCGCGGCTGTGGGGAGGCAGACTCTTTCTTGGGAGGTGGTGCTGCTAATGAGCTCTTATTAACGAAGACCTGCAAGTTGTCTTTCACCCAGTCAACAGCAGAAAGAACACATACTTCCCCCTGGCAGTTTTCCATGAGGTATGTATTTAGATGCGCATGGAGTTCTGTCTGCTGGGCCCGGCTGAGACTGGAACACCTAGAAAGTTTAACAAGGTTTTAGAAAAGTTTGAGGCAACTTGGAAGCGGAACTTTCTATATTTGGGAGGACAGACTGTTCATGGAGCGCTTGAAGAAACTATGACAAAAAGATCTGCACCACAGCATAGCAGGAAAAAACATTAACAAAGTTTCACGAGGATTATAGGCCTACTAATTAGATATACACTGTGAGCAAATTACAGGTAGTGTTCTTTGCTTTTTGCATTATTATGCACGTATTTTCTAGTAGCAAATAAATGTCTTTACATCTGTGCTCAACCTTGCAGATGTCTTCAACTTCCAACAAGCCCATGACAGTAGAAAATAAGCGTTCACTTCAATCCATTCCCCCTGTGCCATTCGTCTGTTGCTCATCCATAGATCAGTGGAGATATTTTTTGAAAAAGCCTGCACATATATCTCCCTAGATTGAATAAATTAAGAGTGTCTGCTGCTGTTTTACATTTTTAATGATAAACTAAGATAATGACTGTTCACCACAAACTACCATGAATTAGAAAGGAGCTCACCGGACTGTTATTTCTGGCAACACACTGGGATATTCAGATGGATACGCACAGGACACAATGACCTCCATCTAAGTGGAACAATAAAACAATAAGAGAAGACACACAGAGAAACAACATTATTATTATTAAACAGAAAATTGCTGAACTTGAATCGTTATGACATATTGCGACCGTCTCAGTCGGTTACCCCCTCCGTGTTTGCACAGTCCAGCTTCTGTTTGATGAGAAACTGCGGTCTGGAGGGAGGAGGGCTGTCTGCTGAAGCTGAGCTCTCCACGTAGTCCCTGAGCTCCGCTAGTGCCAGCTGGTCGGTGAGCTCCAGCTCATCCAGCGTGGGGAACATGCTGGTTAGCAGCTCAATCTCTGCAAGCTGAGACTCAGCCCACTCCAAGTAAGACATGCTGCTAAAGCCAGACAAAAGCGTCGACTTTTACCAAAAAAAAATAAGAACCGTTAACTGCTGAACAGCCTTCCGCCCACGGTGACAGATTTTTGTCGCTTTACGTGCTCATTATCCTGCTGTCATTGTGGCTAGCTGAAGACATGTTGCTTTAATGTCATATAAAGTTTAACTCTCTGTAATAAAATATCTTCGAGCCGAGCAGAGTTAAAGATATCTGTGGGAACTATGAATAGAAAGTAAGTCTAGTTTAGCACTTGAAAGCCACCGGTTCCCAACACTAGCTAGTAATTGAGGTTTGTTTCAAGTCGGACTCTTTTCAGCGACGCACACAGGAAACGCACGGACTGAGCAGCAGAAACAGTGGCAGCATCACATTTTGTTCCTCTCTTTGCATGTGTCAACTGGGATTTCTTTTTTTATTTATTTTTTGCCAAATCAGCGGAGTGATTTTTGTAAATTTTAAACTTCGTAAACGTATTTTCTAACCCGAACGCTTCCATTTTCTGACTATAGCCAGGAATGTAAAGTCATTATGGCCGGATTAGAGCTTTCATTTAGACAAAGTAAACGAAACTGAACACCGGGGATGTTTTAGGATTCGTTTCTGACAGTGAGTTGGCTGAACCACGAGCATAGTCGTGGAGTTTGATGTTTCATTACTTGCTGTTTTCTTTTGGCACTGGATGTAAAGGCCCTAAACAGCAGCATTATAATCAGATGTTGTTATTAGCCAAAGCTAGCGTTAATTCAGGCGACTCCTGCATCTGATTTCCATTCATCTCTAAATGTGCTCAGGTGAAAATGGGAAAGAAAAGGGGGAAGGACAAGAGCTCCAGAGAGGAGGATGAGATTGACCTGACAGGTAAAGAATATATCGTGATCATCTTCATTTGATTAATTAACCTGTGGAAGGCCTCGTGTGACTTTGCCTGATGTTCATTTTATTGGTTGATCTCTGTAGGTCCATCGTGCAGACATATTAAGAAAGGAACAGACCAAACTCTTCTCAAGAAACTTTCAGGCAATGTTGATTGGACAAGCTGTCAGGATTGCAAGCATGAAGAAAATAAAGAAAACATCAGCACCTCTCAGCCGGAGGAGTCTGAAGAGGAAAAAGAAACAGCAGGAATGTGGATGTGCTTGAAGTGCGGCCATAGAGTGAGTTTATTTTTTTTCCATTTATCAATCAGTTTTACAGCTTGAAGTGACTTGTCCCAATACATTTTTTTCTACTAGGGATGTGGACGAAATTCTGAGAACCAGCATGCCATTAAACATTATGAAACTCCACGGTCGGATCCACATTGCCTGGTGATCAGTTTGGACAACTGGAGTGTCTGGTGAGTATGTAGCTGTGATGTGCTAATCACAGAAGCATACTTTATGTTTGAAGTGAGAAGAAGTTTTTTTTTAATGTGTTGTCAAACTTGCAGGTGTTACATATGTGATGATGAGGTCCAGTACTCCAGAACGGGTCATTTGGCTCAGCTGGTGACCAACTTGAAAAAGCAAACGTCTACTGAGCCAATAAAAAGAGCACCAAAAAGTAGGTACCATTGCTGTTTTTTAAATCAAAATGTATAATTAGATTTACACGATTCTAACTTTGTGCACCATGTTTGCAGATGTAGAAGAGAAAAAGGACAATGACTTGTTGGAAGCTGTACAGAAGACAGACACCATAAAACCAGAGGAAAATGAGGACAAGGAAAACAAGGATCACCAAAAGAAAAACATAAAGAAAGAGGGTGCTGGGAAATCACAAAAGCACAGCACAAATGAAGAAAAGTCTGGTGGTGTCTCAGTAAAGGGACTGAGCAACCTTGGAAACACTTGTTTCTTTAATGCAGTTATTCAGGTAAGATTGCGCCCTTTGGAATGCTAGTCTGGACTTAAATCAAAGGTATTCATTGGTATAATTGTCTTTTCCAGAACCTCTCCCAAACACAGCTCTTAAGAGAGACTCTCAACAAAGTGACTGAAGAGAAAATGAGTCTTAACATTAAACCTGGTGACTCTTCAGATCTGGTGTGTTGCCATTGTGCTTTAAATAATTGTTTTTAACTGAACAGATAGTAGATATATCTCATCTAATACACCCTATTTATTGCCTAAGAGATTTGCTTTTCTCATGAATGCAGGAGCCTATTGTAGTGCAGTTAGACCAGCCTGGATCCCTGACTTTGGCTATGTGTCAACTTCTCAATGAGATCCAAGAATCCAAGAAGAGTGTTGTAACACCGCGGGACTTGTTCACACAAGTTTGTAAGAAGTGAGTGCCTCTACAATTTAAGGTAGAGCTGAAGTTGTTCTGTAAATACACCTCACTGTATTACTGCATTAAGTGTTGTTCATTGTTTCATCTTATTCCTGCAGGGCTGCCAGGTTCAAAGGATTTCAGCAGCAAGACAGCCAGGAGCTGCTGCGCTACCTGCTGGATGGAATGAGAGCTGAGGAGCTTAAAGTGCGCATTCAGTTTCAAACAAATTTCTCTATATGTCATACTGGTAAAAGATTTCCACTAAAAACTGCACGTATAACTGGGCACAGTAGCTGTCCTGTTGGCTGTTAATTACATGACACTAGATTGTTTTGACAGCAAAGAAGCACTGCATGTAAGCCAGCTGATATGAATTGCACTGTACGAGTAGATGTTTTATTCATTGGTAGAAAGTCAGTCACACTCCAAATTGAGTGAGAAATTGATCACGACTTGTGCATGAAATGCAAAGAATTGTGGCTTAATAGCCTTTTATTTCCCTCTCATTTAATTACCTTAGAGATTCTGCTGTTGGAAGAAAGGTTGGTTAATTTCCACAGAGCAGAGGTTTCATAAGAGCACAATCAAAGTGTAAAGAGGCTGAAATTGAGATTCTGTGAACGTGCTTTAAATCTCATATCAGCAAAGTCTCCTTCCTGTTCTTCAACAAAGATTGTGTTTGTCTACAGAGAGTAAGCTCGGGGATAACGGATGCATTAAAACAATCTAGAAAAGGTTTGGATGGAGAGCAGCTGAAGACACTAGTGAAGGGTAAGTAACTGAGCAAATCACACACCTCTTAGTGTTGACAGAAAAAAATGCAATAATCTATAATATCCAGTTTGTTTATTTGAGAAAAGTGGCCCACTGACAAGTCAGTTCTGATTTCAGAATATGAGAAAAATGGAGTTCTTAAAAACCTGGTTGACCAAGTTTTTGGTGGGGAGACGACCAGCACCATAATGTGTCAGCAGTGCAAAACGGTACGTATGAGAACCACAAACTGAAAAGAACCTGTTCCTGTTGAAGTCATGCTAAAAATATCCATTATTCCAAACAGGTGTCCGTTGTCACAGAGATGTTTTTGGATCTTTCCCTTCCTGTTTCTGATGAGGTAAAGCAGTTATGAGTGGGTTTTTTGACAATTTCTTGTGGAATTATTTGTTAGTTTTGTTTGCATTAAATGCTTGTGGACTCATGTTGTCGTATGTTACAGGCGTACAGAAAGAAGAATCCAAAAAAAGCAGTTCAAAAGACGAGTGAGGTGAGCCAGGATGGCAGAAACAGCCCCGCTTTGACCAGTGGAAACGATGACGTTTCCTCTGGGACTGGCAGCAAGTACCAACAGAAGAAAGCCAAGAAGCAGGCAAAGAAGCAAGCAAAGGTATCTGAGTGAATGTTGCCTTAATTCATCTTTTCGAGGGATGAGTGTAAACTAAATAGTCTGTTTTGTTTCCTTGTCTTGACTTGTAGCATCAAAAAAGGCAGCAGAAGCTTGAGGGCAGAGTCACTTTGGACAGTCTCACATCTCACACAGACAGTGAACAGACAGATGCTGCCACAGATCTGAAGGAAAATGCTGACAATGAAACACAGGAAGAACAAAATCCTGCCCCAGTCAGTGAGTGTGAGCAGGATCAGAAGACCCTTGACACGATCCAGGTGGAGGTGGAAAAAGAAGAAGAAGATGAGGATTCAGTGACTGACAACAACTCATCAGACGTGTCGTCAGTCAGCAACCGTTTTACCATCTTGTCAGAGGAGCAGCAGACAAAAGACGGCGCCTTGTGCGATGAAATATCCAACATGGATCTGGAAGGAGATGAGAACACACAGCTGGTGAATGAAATGGAGAGCGTGACCCTGGATGATGCCTTCATAGAAGACTCTGATGTTATGGAACGAAGCGTGGTGTCTGAAGAAGAAGGGCAGGAAGCTAAAGAATACACAGTGTTAAACCAAGACCCGGAGTTGGCGTTCTGCACACTGGCTACACGGACACCCCCAGAGAAACAGGAATGCTCGGTGCAGTCGTCTCTTTTTCAGTTCACAGAAGTAGAAACCCTCACGCAGAACAACAGCCTGCTCTGCGTCACTTGCACTAAACAGCAGCTGAAGAAAGACACGGCTGGAGGCATGTAGAATACATCTCAATGAAAATATATTATACATATATATTGTAAATATGCTTTTATCCATGATATTGTGATTTTAAAAAAATGTGGATCACAAATCTAGCAATTCTAACAAGGCATGAAGCCAATTACAATGTATTTTATTCTAATGTTTTACTGCTTCTTTTTAATCAGAACTACTGACTTTTCCATGTTGGGTCAATGAAGTTCATTGTCTGTGTTTAGGATCTAAGAAGAATATCTACACTGATGCCTTGAAACAAATGCTGATTTCCTCTCCACCACCAGTCCTTACCCTTCATTTGAAGAGATTTCAACAGGTAAAACAGAAATTGTTTGCATTTTTTTTTTCCCCATCTCTCATTTTGTATGTTTTTTTTTCGCCATTTTGCAAATCCTTGAAACGTTTCCTTTTTGGAATTTTGACGAGATTGCTTTTGTTGTTTTCCTCTAGAATGGATACAGCATTTGTAAAGTGAACAGACATGTCAACTTCCCTCTGATACTGGATCTTGCTCCTTTCTGTGCAGTCAGATGCAAGGTAAGGAATAGATTTTATTGCACGTCAATACTCTTATGTGCCTATTTGTGAATTTCTGAGCACTAACTTTTGTTTTTTTCCCCCAAACAGAATATAACAGAGGGAGATACTCAGATTTTGTACAGTTTGTACGGTATTGTAGAGCACAGTGGAACGATGAGGTCTGGTCATTACACGGCCTACGTGAAAGTACGCCCCGGGTGCCCCAAACTATCGTCCAATGGAGTTGCAGCAGATGGTAGGTGTACTTAGGAATGATTACGTGAACCTACAGCTTTATCTCTGCTAACTTAATCGTTTATTTTCAGGAGATGCAGAGCCACCTAGAGGGTCCTGGTTTCATATCAGCGATACAAGCGTTCAGCCTGTGAGCGAGAGTAAAGTCCAGAGCTGCCAAGCCTACCTCCTTTTCTACGAGAGGATCCTTTAACTGAACCGTGCCTCATTACTCAGGAAATCCAAATAAACCAACTTGCTGCTTCAGCTCCATCATGTAAGCGTGTGATGAAACGACACTGACTATACGGAGGATGTGTTGGACAGTGGTGGCATATTCGTCAAAGTGGTGCCACACTATCCTAAACTGGACATCTGTTTCTAACGCTCGTGGGAATATGGCAAGGTGTGCAATCAAACTCAAGATGGACGTTGAACTGATTGTGTTGTGGGATTTAATAGTTTGAAAAGATAAATGAAAGTTTGGGAACAACAAAAAAATGTCTATTTTTTAATCAATATCATGTAATTAAATGCTTCAAAATGAGAAGAGCTGTTCTGTGTGCTGGCTTACTGACACTTGTACTGAGCATGCGCAGTCGGTGCCCGATAGGTTTTCCTGGTCCACGCTGTCACATGACGAGAGGGAAGTGTGGCTGTGGATGGCCATCTCTACCCACAATTTACTGATGGCAGTGTTATCCAGCTAACATGGCAGGTCAGTAAACATCTGAGGTTTTTTTAAATAAACTCTTTTAAAGTAAAGTGACTGTTTCAGAAGGTTTTTTTTTAGTCAACAGCAGTAAAATGCGCTGCACCAGGAGTCACCGCTAACGATCTGGCCTAGCATAATGCTAGTCCGTTTGGATAACATTTATAACCACTGCACTAATATGTCAATTAATACGTTGTTAGTCGTTATTAACGAGGCGTCCAGGTCCTAACTTCGAATACGTTGCGCTGCGCGTTTCCTCCAGGCCTAGTTGGGTAACTTGACTAAACATGAGTCAGCATTTTAGCGTTCAACTTGGTGCCCAAGTTAAAGAGTGAACATTTTAACCATCCTGCCCGAAGTAAAGTACTAATCCTTAATTGTTTGCTAAGTTAGCTGATTATATGTAAGCAGGAAGGTGTCTAGCAAAGTGTTTGTCCCAATCAGTGCAGTGATCAGCAGGAGTGACTTGTTTAGTTCACTACTATACTGAAGTCACACCAAATATGAATAATATAAAGAATGTTGTTTCCAGATCAGAGACCCAGTTGCATTAGTGGAAGCATGTAATGTTGTTTGCGATGCATTGTTTCTGACTTGAATGAGTAAATTCCTGTTTTATGCAGCGGATTAAGTATAAAGTCACATTCAAGTGTCCTGTTTGTCAGTGGGCTGACTGTAAATTACAATGTTATCGCCTAAATAGCGTAAATTCCCCTGGGAAGGTGTTAGAAACCAGTTTAAAAAAAGAACAGTTTCATGGTTTACACAATCATGGAACTTCCCTTTATGTTTTGAGGTATTTCAGTAATGCCCAGACAAAAGATCACCCGATGTCCTGTTTGAAGTGTTCCTCCAGCGCTCGGTGGTTGTGTTTCATATTGAATTCTTTGCTAAAGACAGAATCTTAAATTGTTTTTTATCTACTGATCCATTAAAGTTTGTTCTGTCAGTGTCAACATAATGTCAATAAATTGTAAAAGATGCCCATCACACCTCCGAGGTGATCTGTCAACAGACCGACAGCCAAAACTTATTTCTTTTATCATAGAGGAGCAAGAATATTAGAGCGTTTGACAAGTAGGACCCCACAAGTTGGACTTTTCAGTGAACTATTAGAACTGTTATCCGTTAATCATTTGTCTCTAAACTAGTAAAACATTTACTAAACATGACTGAGACCTGGTGTATTCTGACAAACCGCATAGCATGACTGTGATGATGCTTTTTTTTTTTGTTTTTGTTTTTGACTCCAACCCTGCCTGCCTCCTCTGTCACACAGGCTGAGCTTGTAAAAGAACCATGACGCTCCAAGCTCCTCGCACGTCAGAGTTCACCTTTCAGTCTGCGGTACACAGCGCTCACGTTCTCCAGTGTCTGAACGAGCAGCGGGAGCAGGACGTCTTGTGCGATGTGACGGTGGTGGTGGAAGACCAGAGCTTTCGGGCCCATTGCTCCGTCTTGGCTTCTTGCAGCGAATACTTTAACAGCAGGGTCGCCGGTGTCACCAGACAGAATCCCATCATCACCTTGCCTGATGAGGTCGGTGCCCCGGTGTTCAACTGAAGTATTTTGGGGGAAATTACACCGGAAATTACTTTAGTGCATAAGTAATAATTCAGTTACTCTACTTTACTTTTTTTTTTGGTCTATTACATGTGAACTTTGGGTATCCTATAAGACTCATCTGAGAATAGCAGCCATGTTCATTTAGTCGATTCCTTCAATGTTACATTACATTTGGGTAACTACTGTATCTGTACTTGCAGATTCAAGCAAAACCAACGACCAAAAAGTTTTTAAACTAGACTAGATTATCATACAGGCAGCCATTTTTCTTCAAGATCCTTATACATGCATACAAAGCGACATTTGTTTTCTGTTCAGCAGTAATTAATCTAGTTTAAAGTGCCTGTTGGTCCGCTCTGTGTAAACACTTTATTGAAAAATGTTTTATGTGCAGCTTTTGAAATTTGAAGCAAGAAATGTCAGGACAGGTATGTGACAGTCCTGTTTGAATGGAGAGCCTCTGTTACTTTGTGATCTGTTCAGGTGTCATTGTACAGTTTTATTATGGCTCAACAATTTTGCTTTTCCTCACAGGTGACCGTGAAGGGGTTTGAACCTTTGCTTCAATTTGCCTACACATCAAAGCTGCTTTTCACCAAAGAAAACATTCACGCTATTCACAGCAGTGCTGCGTTTTTAGGATTTCACGACTTGGAGTCAGCATGCTTTGATTTCCTCATCCCAAAATTTTCTGAGGGCAAAAGCACCTCCCAGGAGGTCAGGCATAGAGTCTGTTGTCGGAGCCGGGAACCCAGCGCCGGTTTTGGCACTAGTGTAGAGACTAGCCAACCAGAATCATTTGAGTCTCACAGCTCAGTGCCTTTAGGAGAGGATGAACAAACAGACTTCCCATCACAGTGTCCTCAGAACACACCGGGTCAGGCTGACGGCAGGGAGGAACACTTCTGTTTGGAGAGCTGTGGGCCACAAATGGCCCCCTTGTCTCTGGAGTTAGCAAATGGTGTGTGCCCCATGTTGTCTTTGCCATGCCCAGGCCCTGACAAAGCAGATCAACCCTCTCAGTTTTGCGAACGAGACATTTTAGGTATGGGAGATGTCTGTAATCAAAGTGAGCTGAGTTTGGCAGACTGCAGCTTACCCTGTGAGCTGTCAACCCCAGGGGACGTGAATCCACCAGAGCTCATTGAGCCAGCAGGCAGAGATATTAAACACACCGTGGAGACACTTGGTGCTGAAGCCAGTTGTAACCCTGGCTCATGCCCGCTCAAGACATCAGGGGCAGAAGATTGCGGCACGCTGTTAGAACAGAGTGAGGTTCGTCTTGAACAAGGAATGGCAGGTGATCTCTCAGACCCGACGCTGACTGCTCTAAGCCACGAGGAGGGATTTGGGAAGAGGAGCCGCGTGGAGAGGGAGGTGGCTGAACATCTGGCAAAGGGGTTTTGGCCTGACCTCTGCCCGTCTCAGGCTCCACCGCTCCCGCTCGATCAAGTGGACCAAAACAATCTGGCAAAAGCATCGGACTTTCACTGGCTTAAGCAGCTGGACCTGAGCTCCAGTGCAGGAGACTGTCCCTTCCTCAGGGACTTTGGGACAGGCGATGACCCCGCCACCCACGCTGACAGCTTGTCTCAGGCAGAGAAGAGTCCCTACATGTCCTCCTCGCTCAACTCTGGGGATGAGTCAGACCTGGACACAGATGGGGATACTGAGGCCAACAACAAAAGAGCAGCAGAGGTCATTGTGATACACAAGCTCAATATTGGCAGTTGAGGATACTGAATAAAAATACATCTAACTTCTAAACCTCTACTCTACAGATTCAGCTCCCCTTCCCGGTGGAGCAGATCTCAGCGCTGACCCGCAGTGCATTCCAGCAGCTTCTGAGACACCATAATCTGACTCAAGATCAGCTGGATTTCGTCCACGATGTTCGCCGGCGAAGTAAAAACCGCGTTGCCGCACAGCGCTGCCGAAAACGGAAGCTAGACAGCATACACCAGCTAGAATGTGAAATAAAGAAATTAGTAAGTTACCTTTGTTATGTCCAGCATGTCATCAGGAACCACATCAGCACTTTGTGACCTCTGTTGACCTCTAGTGGTGACCAGTATGACTTGCAAGCAAGCAAATGAATGCATGTCACTTCCTTTTTAAATTGCTCGGGTGTGAATTCTGTAGCACTTGTAGAAAGGTGATTGATAGATATAGGTTTACAGATTAAATAAACTAGACCAGCATATAAAATACTGTTGACGGATGAAGGAACAAAGAAAAGACAAGGAGCCTTTCTGACAAAATATTTGCTGTCAGCTCCGTTGGGTGACCTCTCAGATTCATCTTAAGCTGTACGGAAAACAAAGCAGTGATGAAGTGTCAGAAACAGTGATTGATCTTTACCGTTATCTCTTCCACAGAAAAGTGAGAAAGAGCGACTGCTGCAGGAGCAGACGGAGCTGGAGCAAAACCTTGAAGAGATGCAGCAGAGCCTGTGCGGGTTATGTAAGAGTGTCAGCATCGAGTCTGACTCCGATCAGGACCACTTGCAGCTTCTTGCCAAGCTCTCCTCTCCAGACTTTCCCATCTCTTCCCCCAGCATTGTGGGAAAAAACGAGCAGTCACAGATCACCATTGAAATGGTAAGTTGTTCTTCAGAGTGTGACCAAAGCGGGCCACCTGCAGACTCAGTTCAAGTCGCTGGACCACAGGCCAGCGCAGAGGATGCAGGCTGCCCTGTTAATGCGTCTTTGCTCAACGCCTGTCTGGACATGAACAACACTTTATAATTGGACTTCCGTTATCATTTCAAATTATGCAGAAGTGCGGGGCCGAGCGCGGCCCTCGACTGTATACTGTAATCCTCTTTTGGGATAGACGTGCTGTCCTGCGTGTTTCACCGAATAATTTTCTGCCTGATATCTTAAATTGACGCAGAAAATGTTGATCATTTCCTTAGCTGTATTTCTACTCTGTACATCACTGTAGTAAGAAACAGAATCTGGTATAAATCATTTTGACGGTGCAGGCAATTTTCAGGTAAATCCCCAAAGGTCCCATTTGTACATTAGGAAAATGTTTCTTAAAGTTTGTTTTTTCTCAGGGATGCTCATAACCTGACTGTGGTTTGAAATCTCGCCGCACACCCTCGCTACTCACCTCCTCACACCCATACATGCACACAGGTATGAATAGGAGACTTTCATTTTAGGCTATTTATGTGTACTGTACGTTTTCATCACTATGCTGTTTGTTTGATTAAATATGCACAGCACTAACAGAGGTTGTAACAGTAGATGGAACGTGTTACTGGCCAAGCTAACCCTTCTGAACAGCATTAATTGCTAATCTGTAGTTTAAAAAAATAACTGCTACCTTTCTGTTTTGAGGAATTGTTCTAGTGAAAATGTTACAGGACGACATAGAAGTTTTTGTTCTTTGATGCAAAATGTGCCTTATGCAATTGTATAGTGTAAATTCAGAAAGAAAAAAAAGGCAATCTTTATATGCCCTCGTTCCAAGGACTGTTGCACATTAACCCAGAGCTAATACTGATGGCATACATTTAGGTCTGTCTGCATGTTGAGTATTTTTTATTAAAAGCTTTCATGGATTACAGATTTAAATAAACAACATTTTGTTACCGTTCAGAGTGTTATTTCGACTCACAAGAAGTGTGATTTTTTTTTTCACCGCCTACATGTATGTACAACACCAGAGTTTGGCCAGTAGATGGAAGTACAGCCCTACCTCACCGGCTATGCTGACTGGAACACTGTAACAGCAGAAAGGCTTTCTTTCTCATTTCTATTGAGATTTTTATGCAATTGAAAATGTTTAGTTAACTTTCAACCAGAAATTTACATCTAAAAAATAAACTTTTAACAACGTGTAATATTGCGAATTGTTCAGTCAACATTTGTGGACATAACAACATTACAAACTTAGATCAAAACTATTTGTGTAGTTTAAACACTGCTCAGCCTGATAGTCACTTTAAACCTTCAGTTCAGTCTGTTTTTCACTTCTGCAGTGTTTCTGTAGAGAGGACTAAATAAGAGGAGACTCAGATGAGGCTGATAAACAACACATGCTATGTAAGGAGCAAAACTATCCAGAGACTCTCAGACAGGAAATTGGAAAAGGTACGGTGTATATGAAAAGCCATCCCCGTAACCCAGCTGTTCAAATTGAGCTGTAACACCCATTATGCTGTAGATGCAAAAGAGAGAAGCCTTCCCACACCTGTGAAATCCAACATGTGCTTTTTTTAAACAACTGTAAATCATTGAAAAATAAAAAGCAAACAGTAGTTTGGCATTAAACAAATTGGTCTGCACAGCCTTACATGCTGCTTTCTTTTCTCTTTCTTTTTTGTTTGTAGAAGAGGTTCACCCTCATGAAACTGATTTATTATTAAATCTTGAAAATACACGTTAATGTTCAGCAGAAGAAATAAGCTCATTATTAACCAGTTCCACACAAAACAACCTGAGAAGTCAGCCACCCGAGCTGTTGCTGTTACCCCACACATACACAGAATTTATTTTTAAAACCTTAGTGCAGCTGTAATGGTCATTGTTGACATCAAATATTAAAACTGCAGCTCCTTGTTACCGATGTAGTCCACATGACATTTTTCTGCAGATAGGTGGTGTGTGTTGGACTTCTTTCATGTTCCTAAATATAAGAAGTATAAAGAAACATGCAATAAACAGTAGATTTTGATTCTCCCAGTGTGACCCTACACACTATTAGCATGGCACATGTGATGATGCCCCTCAGATGATGACTGTCGTCAAACAATCTGTATCATCCTCGTCTGTTGGTAATACCGTAATAATAGTAATTTCTGTTTGGACTGTTTTCTAATATCATTCTCTTGCATCGCTGCATCCCGGTCCTTATGCAAAGCACACGTTGTTTTTAGCTCATGGGAGGAGTCGAGTGGAGTCATATCAGGTCAAAGCATAGATTAGGACAAAGATACAGCTGCAGTAATTCAAACAAGGAAAAAAAAAAAGATTGAATGTGATGCTTACTCACTTGTTACCAACATTTCTCACCACGTGAAGGCGTCGGAGCAGCGTTTAGCAGTTAATTTTATTGTTGATGTGCTGTGTCTGTGGACCGTCTCTTTGTCAGGCTGTGAATATCCATCTATGAAAGAAAACTGCGATAAACATTTGTTAAAGAACTGACACGGGTCTGAGGGCTCTCTCTCATTTCAGGTTGCAAAAGGACCTCGTGTCAGACTTGTCAAACAAACTAGTATTAAATAGAAAACCCATTTTAAGAAGGTCTCGGAGAGTTGAAGAAGCAATTTTGTCAAGATGTTTTTAGTCTTCTGATATGAATTGTTATTTTTGTGCCCTTTAAAATAGCTGCTGTGGCACTTTGGGGAAAAGAAAAAGCAATCTCATTGTGTTTTTCTCAGAGCAGAATCCTCAAGGTTAGAGTGGTAATTACACCGGCAACCCTGAAGCATCAAATACAACTCATACCTGTCTTTGAGAAGTGTACTCACACACTTACAGACTCTCAAAGCTGAAACTCGAAACTTAACAAGTAGTGTTGCATCTAAAAGTCAAAAGGATCATATGATGATAACAGACATTAGACGTGATCTCCCAGCGCTGCCGCGACACACATCTTTACCAAATCCTCAAGTCGGAGCTCGTCAGAACTGGTATCGCCCTCAAATACGGAAGCATTAGGAGACGGACCTATTTATGAAATTGCCTCTCAAAAATTAGGATTCTTCCGTCGTGTTTGTGTCTTTTTACAAACTGTTTAGATTTTTAGAGCATTGTAGTGCAAAAGTAAGATTATCCTCTTTTGCAAGCTACACAGGACGAGAGACTTGATTTGAGGAGGAAGCAGCTGTGCGGCATGGCAAGGTCAGAGGCCCATAATCCGCGGCCTCATTCATGCGAGATTAAAAACCTGCTCTGAGTTCTGATTAAGAACGCAGGGTTAGAAGATTAAAGACCAGCAAACAAAATGAAAGCAGTTAAAGCCCAATCCTGGAATTCATCAGAATACCAAAACCTTAAACTGTCATAACGTGAGATTAATGCAAAGCCCCCTTGAACTCTGTGTCTGTCTTGATATAGTCTGTGTCGGAGCATATATTTCCTTTTTTTTTCCCCAAAAAAAAAAAAAATCTAGATGAAGATCTCACACTTTGTTCGTTTATTTCTACCTCTGACTTATTGTTTCCTTTTTAATCGCAGTGAAATATTGTTGAATTAGCTCTGATTATTGTCAATATAATAACAGGTCCTTATAATTATTATTTTTTTGTCTTGTCACACAAGATTCTCTTCATATAAAGCATTTATATATGCCTCTTATTTATGAATTGATTCCAGTTCTTGTCCTCTGACAGACAAAATCCACTAGGTAGGAGGGATTAGACAACAGGAGGCAAGGACGAAAAACAAGGATTAGAAATTAAAACATCTGGAAGTCGAGCTTGCTTACAACATTGCTATAGCAGAGAATATATGTGCTAATAAAATGAACGCTATTTAACTGGACTTTATCTGCGGGCAGGCCGATACGAATATGATCTAAACCTAACAAGCAGCAACATTTTAAGATCAATTGCAGGATTATGGTTGTGAAAATACAATCTCATCAACTTCAATATAAATGAGATGACCCTAAAATGTCTGAAAAAAAATCCAGTTGGTCAAATATCAAAGTCGTTGATATTGAGAGTTAAAAGGCTTCTAGATTGTAGCCGGATGCATCAATTAGCTTTAAGATTTTAGACCAATAGTTTGTCTAATCATGTGTAAATACAAATATGAGCATCACACTAACTTATCCCTCTTAAATGCAGAACTCAAGACTGGACATCCATACAGTATCGGCGTTTCTCCAGCAAGGGTCAAAAATCCTAGACGACACAATGCTTATAATCAATCCCAGCATAAGGTCCATGACCTTCTTGCCACACAACATAAGTCTTATAAGCTGCTGAGCTACTGCATCCTAACTGATTACATGCTGAAGTGACTATGAACTTCATTTTGGGGGGCAGCGCAGTGAGAAGGGGGTTGTATCTCATTGACAGGATTATATAAACGAGGACCATAATACTGTAATCTCCTGGAGAAATGAGAGAAACCAGGGGACATGCCGACCCCAGCTATAGCTAGCACCCTGATCTGCGGCCGTCAAGATTAACAGCTGGTTGTGCGGCGACAGATTGCGCTCACACTCGTGTTCTTGTCTTAACCGTCCGCCCTGTGTTCGGAACTGCTGGAAATGTTTCCTTCAGAGTGAAATTTCTCAAATAAGTCACACTGTATCAGAGCGCCATTATTTACTCAGTCATGGGGAAATTGTCAGAATTTATCAGTGTCAAGAGCCAACTGGTAAAGCAAAAAAAAAAAAAAACGATGCCCACAATTCTGCCAAGTACATTGGTTTTTAATTAAGTTGGCTATTGTGAGAGTGAGATTCAGCAGTGAGTCATTTTTTAAGCTTAGCAGTGCAGAAAAAATCCCCAAAGCTTAAAGGAAGTTGTCATTCTTTAAACAGTCATAGTATTCTGTTCCTGCTTTTAACTTGAGCACAATGTAAAAAAAAAAAAAAAGTTCTCAGTCAAAATGATAAGTGACAGATGGGCAGCAAGAATATCCCATGTCCAGAATTAACAGTAAGATCCGTTTATAGCTTTAGTTGCTAATTCAATTGCGTTTCTTTCATGTTGTTTGGAACATTTGCTCTCTCTCGAGCCATTATTTTATAAAATTGGAGCAGCTAGCCATCAGTGTTGTCGTATCGAGTTAAGAAAAGACCAGTTCACTGTAATAATCCAGTAGAAACACGGTGCATCGTTATTAATACATCTAGATGTATATATAAACCAATAAAATACTCAGTATCTTTAACAGGTGTTTGCTTTCTTAAGCTGTGTTTTATATTTCCGAGAAGCATACAGCAAAATTGGATAACTTGAATTTCGTCTTCTTTGCAGTTTGACATTTAACTCGTCCTCCGTTACAATCAGCTGCTGAAAATAATCGGATAAAACTGTAAAAACACAGGGTGGTTAAAAATAAAAGCAAGACACATCAAGTGAACCGTTGTCGGGTCAAAATCGAGCAGTTCAGCGGTTTGAAAAAACATCTTCATCTTTGCGGTAGAGGTTTCAGTTGAACGTGTGATGACTCAAGTCGACTCCAGCCGGGTCCAGAGCTGAGAACTGTAAACTGTAATCTCTTGTATTATTTTAGCTGTAAATACACACTGATGGTAAAGCTGAGCACCAGATTAAGTCTTAATTTCATGACCAAATGTCTTTTATGCGTCTCCTTGTTTTGCTGCTGCGCAATCACACTCTGTTAGACTGTTTCAATTTAAGTCTGACATTTATGTGGAAGCCAGGAACAGTTAACCTTCAACTTTTCAGTATTAAAAGCTGTTCTCCAGTACATACAAATACAAATAAGGTAATAAAAACTGCAGCGTAATTATGTGCGGACTGGTGATTATTTGCTGACAGCGAATGCAAAGCTAACATGGGATTCTCGTTGAATGTTGGGGCTTTTAGATCCACGGTAGCATCGTTTGAAGAAATACCATCTGTGCAATGCAAGAAATCATGTTAGTCTATGTTGTTTAACTGTAGTTATTCATGATGTGGCACTAGATAAACACACTTCAGGGGTTCTACACTGAGGTAATGATTGATTCAACAGTCCTTAGTCATAGTTTCCAACCTGAAATTCTGTCGCATCACCCTGAATTAACACAAATCCTACAATGTAAGGACAAAACAAACGAGACCCCGCGTTACCTGTCAGATGTAGGGCAAGAAGAATCTTCTACATTTTTCTAATCTATGTGCCCCCAGAGGCAGGAAGTTACTGTTGAAGTTCGTGGAATATGTTTCCCCACTTTAACATTAAATCCAAACGCCGTCTCTCTCCGCTTTACATTCTGTGCGTTGGTGGACCATTTTAACTAATGGCTTTAAATGCACAACTGGACACACCGCTGTACTCCAATGATGAATTAATGCGGGCAAAGTGATTTGCAAATAATAATAGTTTGTTATTCCGTAGTTAACAATGCAAGCAACATGTATATATGCCAAAAAATACAACCTTGGAGATACACAGTTTAGTACGACGCATATAAAAATAATATCTGTAATAAAGTTGGTTTTCTACAGTGCAGGCCAACAACAATAACAAGAAAACCTGAGGTTACTGAACTCATAACCCCACTTCTCTGATACCATAAGAATTATATAAGAAAACTGTTCCCCAGAAACAGCCAAACAGATGTTTGACAGAGAACTACCAGGTTTTACAATCAAATGTGAAAAACAGGACAGCTAAAATATGAAAAAAAAAAAAAAAAAGTTATACAAGACCTCAGATCTTCTTGATGCAAACTCAACATCAGTGGATGAACTCAAGTGTCTGACTTGTGTCCATCCAGTAAAGGAAAAGGTTGTGCATGCAGAGCGAGGAGCGATGAAAACCAAAACAACCAAAAAGTAAAGGTTAACAAATGTAATGTTCTCACATAACTTTAGTCATTCTGAAACAATTTCAACATGAAGAAACTTAAACATGCATGTTCATAAACTTCATATGATACAAAAAAGCAAAAAAAAATACAGACATTAAGCAACTTGATGAATAAAATCTTAAGGGAGCACTCATTCATTAACAAATTGGAAACAACTGTTATTGAATAAATCCAAAGATTTTTACATGACTACATACAAAAAAGTGGTGAGCAGTGCAGTTATGTTTCTGTGCGCTGTAATTATGAACATGGCAAACAATTCAGAACAGAATCCTCCCGAAACCTGTTGCAGTTATTGAAATAAACATGACAATCATTCCTGAAAAGATACCACCGCTTCCCCACAACATCGTGGCATGACAATGACATTTCTTTCACACAAAACAACGTTACAATGTTTTTGCAAAAAAAAAAAAAAAAAAAAACAGCAAGGCCAAGATGGTCAGGTGTCAGAATGTCAGAATTCAACAACCATCTGTCATCATAAAAAGGGTTTCTAATGGATTCCTCCAGTCATGACTAAAATGTTTGTGTGCTCTATATAAAAACTACTGAAAACACAAAACTCTGCATTAAAAACTTATTCGTTTTGATTGTAACAATGCAGTTCAACACATTCAGACTTCTTTTTTTTCCCTTTTCTTTTCTTTTACTGGCCCAGTGATTACCGTGATCCTGCGATGACAATGACAACACAAATGTGCAGTAGGTTCATAACAGTCTTTGATCGAGTCCCCTAATGTGTTAATACTTGTTGTGCCATTCGCACTGGCCGACACTCACCTCCTCAATGTCCAAGTTTTTTCTGGATTTGTAAATAAACTCTCCGATTGCTACAAAGACTGAGAGGACTAGTCCGGCTGCCAACACAATGAAGATGCCCCCTATATTCTCCACGCCCAGGGCGCTGGCCTCCTTGCTGTCCTCTTCTGGACAGCCATTCCCTCTCCACCATTTCTCCTTCATCATGTGCAGCTTCCCTTCTTCCTGAAGCTGCAAGATGGCGATGGTGACTTTGTCTCTGTAAGGGGAGCCTAGGAGTACAGTGATATAACATTCAGCTTTGTTGTTTTGTAGATAGCTAGGGAGCATTTATTAGTATGTGTAGCTTATCTTACCAATTGGGGTTCCCACACCATAGCCCTTTGAATCTATCAAGCCTCCAATCTGTGTGAGGTTGCAGTTGCGCTGGCTGATGTACTCGATGCTGGTGGACTCCATCAAAAGAGCATAATCCGTGGTGAGGACCCTCTGAATGCCCTCCCGGTTGTTTTTCACCAGCGCTGTGTTTTTCCTGCTGCTCATGAATGCCCACATTTTCTCATAAGTTGAGATCTTAGACTTCTGTTGAACCAGAATCAAGACGTATGTCGGATTAAAACACTGTATTGATGGTCAACACAACAACAAACGGAACAGACGTATAAACAGAAGAGATCATGCTGATGCACGTTTGGCACTAATATTTAAAATGACAGTATGTGCAGACCATCCGTTGACTCGAGCTATCACTCGCTTGCATGGCAGGACACGAGATGTGACAAGTGAGCATGACTCTGCTCGAGTTTATTTCATTTTCACCATGCATTCAGATAAACTGCTGGATGTGCTGCAGGCAAAACAATAAATCCTTGAAATCTTTATGGCACTATTGCCCACATATTCCTATTAAACTGACGAATGAGGAAGTTTCCAAGACACTAACCTTTAACCCTGTTTTTTTTGTTTTTTTTACCCAACTCAATTTTCTGCCAACCCATCAGGCTGCGTATGACTGAGGACTGATGCTCAAGGGTGAAAATTGTCAAGCAAACTGAAATCAGAAGTTGTGTTTGCATCCCTTCCCCACTGTTGTACCATTACTTTCCTATTTGCTAAAAAAATGGAAAGACGGTTACCTTAAAAAAGGTCATGGTGGAGCCATCTCGTACAGCACCGTACTCTATTTTGGTTTGTTTGGCCAAATCGTCTGCAGAGTCAATTGGTGAGTCCATTCTCTCCACAGTGAGGAAGGCAGCCAAGTTGGCAGTGTATGAGGAGATTATAATCAGTGTGAAGAACCACCATATTCCACCAACTATCCTTGTGGAGAGGGCCTTGGGCATCAGTTCGGATCCTGTAAGGTAACAACAAAGGGCATTATCAGTTCTACAATCCAGTTTATGTCGATACAATGATGTCTACAGCAACCAAAAAGAGCTATTAAACAACATTGTACATATGTATGGTTAAAGGTGCAGCATAAAAACAGATACCTTGCTGCATAAGTGCTCCAACTCCAAACCAGACACTGTTTATTAGAGTGAAGTTGTTTTCAACCACATCTGAGTCTGGATTGCAGGGGTGAGGGTTGTACCACTCGTAGGGAGTAAACCTGAAGATGAGGAATTGAACAGTCGTAATAATGCAAAGGAAAATACAACAACTAGAAAAACATATTTAGGTCAAATAACAAAACGAAAAAAGTGTGAAAGAAAGCCATTCTGGTCAGTGACTGCAGCAATATGCAAGAAATCTATAGACACTTGCTGCAGCGGCTATTCATAAATCCAAATGACCTTTTGTAAGCAGGAAGAAAAGCTTCAGTGTTAAATGTTGCCTTTAGCTGAACAGCATTGCCTCAAGTGCACTTAACTATAACAGGATAATTCTTATATCCAGCTTATTAGGATTTGTTTTACGCTGTTTATACACAAAAATAGTGTAACATCTGATTTTGCATATCCTAAACCAGCGTGTTAGTTTCATGCATAATAACGTTTTGGCTGCCAAGTGGTTGATTTAAAAAGATTTGCAAGCCAAATCAATATATTTCCCATTTTCCCCATGCCCGTACAAGTTTACCTGGCAATGACAAACAGCACACAGCTGACGCCGAGGCATGCCAGCAACACATACATCCAGATATCAGGAGACAGCGGGTTGAGGAAGGAAAACACTCCTGGATTGGTGCCGTTGGGTTTGTGGTAGAGGATGCTGATGCCAAGCGTCATGAACGGCTTGGAGAAATCGATCACCTTTTCCCTCACGTACGTGATGGTGAGCGGGGCCACAGCGAGGTCAGCCACCTGGTACAGGGAAAAAAAAAAAAAAAAAACCTGATATAGCAAATCACTAAAATGTGTTTTCTCTTGCTATAAGATTGATTGCTCACTACTCACGTGATCAATGAGCTCTCGCACCATGCCGTTCCACTCCCCCTTGTCGTTCTGAGCTCCGTATTTGCCGTCTGACACCAGCTTTACCTCGTAGGAGAAGCCCAAGATGTTGGAGAGCTCTTTGAGCAGGTCGAGGCAGTAACCCTCAAAGCGGTCGTTTCCATACAGCGGCTTATCAGATTTCTTATACATGACATAAGGGTTTTCCTGGTAGAAGACACAAAGGGCTCATTAGGATTGCTCATTAGTACTAAGACACGCCTGATCAAACGCTCACTGAAGAAGATATTTGCTTCATACCAGAATAGTCGTGACAATGAGGGTCCTATTGGCCATTGAGTCGGTGACATTTGTAGATGAGTCTTTGTTGATTTCTGATAAATTAAGGCCCGTCTGGGAGTTCCACACACCAATCTGTGAAGAATAAAACATCCATATAAGCACGCTAATGAGAAATATCAAAGATCTGTTGCCTTCGAGACCTTCACACGATCCAAAAAAATACAGGGAAACAAAACACTAGGAAGCTGTAAAACTACAGTGAAAGAACAGAGGTGGGGGAGCCGAGGAAGGAAAAAGGAAAGGAAGCACAGAACACAATATCATCTGGATTCAAAATGTCACATCCAGTACAGAAATGTAGAACATTTCTTCCCACCAGTCGCTGAATCTTTTGTATGACAAGGGGAGGCTTCATGGAGAGCATCAGGTAGAGTAAATTAGTAGGTGTCAGTATTCTTTTAGTCTGCCAGAGCAGCTAAAGTACAGACCTTTTTCCACACTTTATTCAGGCGGTTGTTGCCCACGGTTGTCTTGCAAAAGTAATGAAGAGAAAGCATTTTAATCACAGAGCCTTGAAATTAAATGGTAAGTCCAACTGTGATGGTAATTTCTGGCTTTAAGGGAAACGTGGGGAATAACTCCACTCTTATTTACTTTTATTTTCAATTTTTTTTTACATCCAACAGTGTAGTTTAATTTCTTTGTAGTGATGATAACATTAACAGATAAGAGGCTTCTTAATGATCTGCCAAAACTGAGTGCAGCATTGTCAACGTGATTAAAGGAGCATCCACACACACACACACACACACGTCGGAGCATAAAAAGACAGCTGCAGCTTATTTGAAGGAGCAATGTGTCAAAACAGTTCAAAAAGTTCCTTTTTTTGAGGCATAATTAGGACACCAGATATCAAGACTTGTGTAGTTTTCAGTAAATTATTCTGTATATTGTTTTACAGACAAGTCATCTCCCCGCAACTTTAGGGGGGGAAAATTGGGTTACAGTGAAGAGCAGTGGCTTTGTTTGTCGACACTTCATCCTACTCCGTTCAGCTCTGCTTCAGCGTCGACCGTAACAGCCTGTACTGACAGAGCGGACAGGGGTCAGACAGTTCACCTTCTCCAGGCCATCCTCCTTTAGGCTGATGACATCTAAATCAAATTCTTTCCGCTGGCCGTCTGTCTTGTTTATAATTATTTGTCCCGTCAAGCCGTTCCATTGTGCCTGTGGCAGAAAGAGGGCAGAAAACACAAGCGATGAATCCCTCAGTTTTGTTGTCATAAAAATTCAGCAGAGGCCTGGGAAGAAAAAATGAAAACAGTTAGAAAAAAAAATGAATAATTGATGAGTTCTCCATTAAGCAAAGAACATGGACAAAGGCTAACTGCATCTTAATGGACATTTTTGCATTGGCTGGATCCTCAACGGTAATATTAAGTGTCTCTGAGCCTGTAACATAGTGGACGGTGATGTAAATGGAGCAGGCAGGCATGGCCTCTGTCTGAGAGGAGAGCAGCGGGTGGGCAGCAGCGCTCACAGATATTTGAAATTACTTGATAATGAAATGAGCTCAGTTGAATAACAGTCAGGTTAAATCTCTATTACAGAGGGCTCGGGGAAATGAGCTGCATCTCAATTCTTCGCTGACGGGGGAAGCTGAGATGTGAGTTTCTTTACGGGAAGATTCTATATCTACAAATCAATACACCTTCTGCAAATCTGTAGACACCCAGGATGTGATATATTTCATGATTTTCATCTTTTTTTAAATTAAAGTGTACCGAAAGGATCATTAGAGGCAATTGACCTCCCAAACAAAGTCCTCGTTTATCAAACCTTCTTGAGTGCAGGCGGTAGATCTGAGGCTTGAAACACAGACGGTTTGAGATTGTTGCATTACATCTGAATGAGAAATAATCTAATCACGCACTGATGAAAAGGATTCAACTGTGGAGACAAAAGCATGCTGCTCCTCATTTGCATATTATCACAGAGAAAACTGGGTTACTTATGATAATCCATATAACTTGCTGTGAACAGTTTATTCCCTCTGCACGGCTGAGCTAATGTTCTATAATAAATGTAGCTCTCAGTAAAACTCATCACAACAAGGCCTGTGGATTATTGTGAGTAAGCACAACAGCAATAAACTGTTGTTGTGTTGGGAAATACATCAAATATGGGGGATAAGGTAGGGTATGCAAGAGTAGAATAGTCTGATTATACCCATGCTCACTCTGGTACACCTCATTGGGGGTATTTGAGTGACACAAACCAAATTCTGCGGAACATTCTGGCTCTAAACCTCACACACAAAATCATGCAGAAACACTGTAATTTAAGTAATTTGGCGTCACGCTACACCGTGTATTAGATACTACAAAATCTCTTTTGTTTGAAAGAAATTGCAGTTGTATTCAGAGATGCCGAACAACACTGAGCCTTTGTGTCTCATCGGTTTGTTCTTTCAGCCTTGAAACAGAAAGTTACATCAGTCAGTTTGCGAAATGAAAACAAGCCCATTCAATCTAGAAAAACCAAAACAAATGCATCCTGAGCCATCGGGACGGGCTGAAGGTAACGAAACGAGATTGAGAAAGAATCTAGTATCATTTGGAAGCGCTGCACAGCTTCACACGTTTTACAATTTGATTTAAATTTAAAATAAAATTCCTGTTGGCAAAAGAGAAACGCATATCGCTGACCATAATGGAAATGCCCATTTGTAAGATCCAAGCTTAAGCTTGATCACATTATGAGGAACACCAGTTTGCGAAGATCGTTAACATCTATAGGTTACTGGGTGTCATTAGGGGAAGCTGCTCTTTGATTAGACCGCTTCACACAGTCTTATTGCTCACATCTGCGAGACCGACTCGACCTCTAAGTCCAGATTTGTTCCGTGATTAAGTCTCTTTTTAAATCCTCACCAATCAAGTGTCTCCGTCTCGACCATGTGTCGGTGTCATTACTGCACATGCACTGATGACAGGGATCGTGTGGAATCCAGACGATGTAAAGGACAAGAACCTTTACATTGATTTAAACACAGCATCAAAACCTCATCGCAGCTGAAGATAAGAGAGGGACATTCTAAGAAAAAGTGAGAGAAAAAATGTATTTCTTCCCCTCTATGCACCAGATCAAAAATGTTCTGTGCATCCATCTGTACGTTTGAGGAAGACAGCCAAAGTACGCCTAATTTTCTCCAAGCTGTGAGTTCGACGTCAAACTTTCTGTACAGAACTTCTGTATTAAATATGTGACAGAGCATTGATTCCTGTAGGCAACTTTGTCATTTTCCTTTCCCACCCCCACAAGAGCAAGTGCAGGCTGAGCTACAGAGCAGCACCCTGCATTCAATCTCTTGCTCAAGGGTACGTCAGATAACACTGGTAGCTTATAGCTGGTAATTTAGGATACACTTTAAAGGAATATGCTGGTGCTTTTGCATGTTTGCCCGATTTAACTTTCTGTATTTCTACTTATGCTCCTGCTGATAGTTCTCCAAAAAAAGTGACTGGTTTCTGTAAGTTCTTTTTGTAGACTTCTATTAAACTACTTCCTATAAGTGGCCCACTGCAGCATACATCATGTGTGTTTGATTGTTGTCGAAGTTATATAATTGTTGTGTGTGTGCAGACGTTTCCAATCAGAGCGCCTGTCAAACGCCAAATTGAAAAAGTTCAAAAATTGTCAAACCAAGCTTTGTCAGAGGAAGCACACCACCCTCAGCTCCAGCGCAAACACACACACAGCAACACCGAACTACACTGCAATACACAACTTATCTTTGATAGTGTGATACATGACAACATGATGATTAAAATATGAGACTTTGAAGAATCTCCACCACGCGATGATAACTGATAAAAAAAAATAAAAATACGGCCACACAAGATGTTCACTGTAACTGATGTAAGAACGTTTCAAACCTCTCAGCTTGATTTTTGTACCGTGAAAAAATGACTGCACACCAATTATTACGGTCTCTATCAGTCCCTAATATCAATTTTTAATACTTTTTTTCTGTCTGCCTCTAACCTCCCAACGTTTCAGACTCTGCTGTTGCTTCACCGCAGTTATTCCTCAATCACCTGCCGACAAACCTCCTAATCAGCTCCTTCAGCGTGTACCCCGATTAGCCACCACTTTAAAACCACAAAAGGTGAAGTGAATAACATTCTGATTGCTTATCCCAGTACAGTAGCACCTTTCAAGAGTTGGCAGATATCAGGCAGCGAGGGAACAGTCAGTTCTTGAAGTTTATTTGTTGAAAGCAGGATCTGAGCGACTTCCACAAGGGCTGGAGTGTGATGACTGGATCAACAGCAGGCATTGTGGGTTGTTTCTAGTGTGCAGTGGTTTGTACCAACCAAAAGTGGCCCGAGAAGATAAATCAGTGGACTGGCTTCAAGGTAAGGGGCGGTCAAGAGTCATTGTGTGTTGGTAGCGAATGCTGGTCTGTGTGTGCAGATTCTCAGTCATCCAGGTCTTGGTTATTCTGGTAGTTTAATCGTAGCAACTGGACTTGCTTGAGTTTGTTGAAGACGTTCCACCTCTCATCCAAGAGGCTTCATCAGTTCTGACTGACTAGTTGGGAGTTCCAGATGCTCATATCCTTAAGGATCCACCTGAGTTTCGGTTTTAATTGGGGGTTTGTTGCTCCTCCCCCTCGTTATGTGGGTCGTTAGTGCTCCCCCTGCCACAATGGGGTTCATTAGGGTCTTTTGTGGCTAAGTGTGAATGTGGTTTCATCTTCCTGGGGGGAGAGTTCAGTCCTAAGAACTCTCCCCCCAAGAAGATGAACCAGAAACTCAGGTGTTAATGGCTCCTTAAGGATATGAGTATCTGGAACTCCCAACTCGTCAGTCAGAACTGATGGAGCCTCTTGGATGAGAGGTGGAACGTCCTCAAGGAACTCAAGCAAGTCCAGTTGCTACGACTGACCTGTGTGGTCTGATCCCACAAACCAAATTATTCATAATTTTGCACCCCCTCCTCTTAGAGCATCTACTGGAGGTCGTTGGGTGTCTCAGTTCAGAAATACAGCTTTTGGACACTGTGCTTTCTCAGTTAAAGCAGCGAAAAAGTGGAATGAAATCAATTCAGGAATAACTGCAGTGTTAAAACCAGCCTCAAGGTCCGGCTGAAGTCGGCACAAAATTCTCACCAATTACCAACACCTTGACTTTATTGTTTTTACAGATTTGATGTATTATCTCACACTGATGGACTTTGAAGTGCTCTATTGGTTTTGTGTAATGTATTTATTGGTTTGTGGTTGTTATCGTTTTCAGGGACAACAGATTCAAACAATTATCTGATCGCTAACTCTTGCGTAATACTTGTAATTGTGTGCTGCCCTGCAAAAATAAACTAATTAAAAAACTAACAAGCTACCGTCTGAAAACAGTGAAAATGAAAAAAAAGTTGCCTGCTTTGATGAATCAGGTTTTCATGGCCAGGCGTGAGTTTACCTGGAAACAGATGGCAGCAGGATGCATTATGGGAAAGAAGGCAAGCTGGTAGAAGCAGTGTGATGCTCTGAGCAATGTCCTGCTGGGAAACCTTGAGTCCTCACATTCATGTGGAAGCCACTTTCAACCACCTCTACTAAAACTGTTGCAGACTAAGTACAGCCCTTCAAGATAGTTTCCTGATGGCTGCTTTCAGCAGGATTCCTGCCAAACACGCTCAAAGAATGATTTGAGGAACATGACCAAGAGTTCAAGGGGTTAACTTGGCCTCCAAGTTCCCCAGATCTCAATCTGATGAAGCTACTGTGTGATATGAGGGGAAAAGTCTGATCTATGGAGGTCCCATCTCACAACTTACAGGTTTCAGAGCTGTTCTAGTGGCATGAAGGGGACTTACACAATATTTGGCAGGTGGCGGGTTTAATGTTGTGGCTGATGCATGTACCTGCTACCAGCTTCCCTCAGTTTCCTGCCAGACTGTCGATTGTACTTTTAAGTGGAAAAACTAGAACGAAAACACTGGCTGGTCATGTGATGTATTTGTTTTTTGTCTTAAACGAGCCACACACATGGAGAGACGACACCGGCACGGTCTTTTTAAATTGAAGCACCGTAATGAAAACAGCGCCGAGGACCGTATGGGATGTCATGGTTATTGAGTAGAAGACAGAACATGGAGTAATGTACTATTAATCAGCGAAGGACAAGAAAATCACGTTTCAAACCTCAGTGTGTTTGTGTAAAAAAATGGAACAAAAGTCTAATTACAAACAATACGTGCAGCGGCTGTGCAGCTAAAGAGCTCATTTATTCCCACTCTGCTCTCTGGGATCCTTGGCCGTGTTTGTGTCTGTCAATACTCCGACCCCACTTGCAGTTAAAAAGCTCATCGGTCAAAGAAACGTCTAATTAGAGGGAGCGATATAACAAGAGAGTCTATCAAATTCAAATTAATATATCTTAGCGGAGATGAGAAAGTCTCCTTCCACAATTAAACTGGGATAATTGCCATCAGACAGACAGCATGTTTTCCAAACTGTCTGTGTTTGCTGACAGTGTTTGTCTCGTTGTGCTTTTGTCTCATCGGCTGTTTGATCAATTATTCATGCAGATTTTTTTATTTTATTTTCAACAGAGTAAGAACTGCACTACAGGATGCTTAGCGTTGCATCCTTCAAAGTTTAAAACATAAGGGATTTAAAGAGACTTTTGATCGATTTAGTTTTCAGTTTTAAGGAATTGCATCAAACCTATTTTTAGTATTTCAACCTATTTGAACATTCAGACAAAAAGCAGCACCTCTTAACGGACAGTAGCCTTTTCACAACCCGCTAATCTAAGAAATCTCGGCACGTGACGTCAATCCTTTATCTCCTGAGGAAAAATTATTTTGAACATAATGGTCGCACACTCATTCCTCATTCAGCGGATCTGATCGACTCACTCTATTGTTTCTGCTCTTGCTCCGTAGGAAATGACACCGAGATACGAAACAAATGGGTGGCTGGATAGATGGAGGAAGGGACCGGGTGTCGCACATTAATAAACCAAACTCACGTCTTTGAGCATGTTCATGAAGCGTGATCCAAAGCGCCAGGGTTTGTGACGGTGGCACTGAAGGGAGCTGACAGTGATCTGGGAGGTGCGCTGCGAGGCGGCAGCCACCATGTAGACGGCGTCGTACATCAGAGCCGCTTCAGTCTGAAAGGGGAAACATGGCCATCATCATCCATCACCGTTGCTCACCTATCATATGTCATGCACTTATCACAATCGGGGGTTTTGTTGCTGCACGACGCCGTGTGGCTTCTCAAAGCGGAGCCAAAAATACGACGCCGGTTCCACCAAACTCCGAGGAGATCAATCAAACGAGCAACCACAATCAGTCAGTGTGAGCACAATTTGGCGTGCAATTTTATTCAAAGTAGCTCTCTGATTTACACACAATCAGAAAGCAACATGGTGGATTCTGTACTCTGAGATCCAATTAAATGCGTGTAAAGGAGTCGTGCGGCTTCCCAAAATAGGATTGCGTCGAAACATTTACATATAATTTCTGGCTTTTTAGGAAGCATTTGAGGTGTAGTTTTTGGTCAAGTTTGACAGGCAAAGTTAACAAAATGCAAACAAATTTCACATTTAATTCAGTTTTATTTAAGCATGTAAATGTTCCATTTATCATCAGCTTCATATTGAATTAGTGTGCTTTTAGTGGCCTGTTTAGCATGTTGCTTCCTACAGTATGTTCCTCTTTGTGTTCGCAATCAATACTCGGCTGTCTGTGCTGTAAATCTTCATCTGCTACATGTCTGTATATCCAGGAAGAGGGCGTCCTTCTCGGCTGCTCTTTTTCTTCTTTCCATTTAAAGGTATTTTTTGGTGTTTTTCCACATCTGAAGTGAAGGTCTATGGCCCGAGGGTGCTACATGCCGCAGACATCATGAAGCCCCTTGAGGCAGATTTGTAATATTGGACGATATAAATAAAAACCGACCTGGCTTGGTAACACGGCCGCACACAGCTCTTGAACTTTTAACACGTGAAGTGAAGGGAAGGGGTCAAACTCACCGTCATCATCCCCTCCATCATCCCAGTCTCAGCTTTGGCGGGAGCCTGCAGCCGCTCCATGGCCCACCTCTCCACCACCGAGGCCACCTGAGGATTGTCGATGTTGAGCAGTCTGAAGCCCGTCATGTTGACCCCGCTGTAGCGGTACGGCTCCAGGTCGAGGGCGAACAGGTCCTGTAGAAAACAACAACAGCAGCAGAATTAATTTGATTCTGCTTTTTAAAAAAAAAATGAAGACGTGCCTTACAGAGCAAAGAGAAAAAGGACACTTGCTTGAAACGGTGGAGCGATATCTATATATAATGGAATTTTGCCAAGGGCAGTGAAAACATCCAACAATCTAATTATAAAACAAACCACAGATGTTGGAGTTCATCTGCATAATATTTGCCTAATAGAATCTCTAGGTGAACACACACTTGTAAACTTGTGTGGGATAAAAAAAAAAGCACGTTTAATTAAGGAAGTGGTACATTTCCAACATGCAAACCTATCGGGTGTCTTACTTCTAGAGATCTAAAGAAACTTCTCAGAGCCACATGTTAAACTGAACATCTGTCAATGTGTGAGAATAGAGACGTGTTGAAGTTTTCTTACCAGCGTGGTGAAGAAGAAGTGGTAATATTCAGTCATCATCCCCATGGACAGAATCTGAACAGGGTGAGAGACAATATTTCAGAGTTCACCCTCCCACTGGAATCTTGCTCCAGTCACAATGAATAATCGCCTCGTCCCCGAAGACCAACCGACCATATCTACAGCCACGCCCCGGGACTCTTGCAAATTAGGCATTCGATCCATTTTCTGAATTGCCTCATTTTGTATTGTTTGCATTAACAAGTATCCCAGTGAGTGTACGGCACAATTTGCTTGTGTTAGCACGCTGTCTCCAATTAATCTTCTGTGCAGCTTTTGGTTTCTGAATGTGTATGTCTGGCTCAGAAATAGGCTCTGCTTGGATTTGGAAATGAACACAGGATTTCTGAAGGGGATAGAATTTGACTAATCTTGCACGTAGTGAATATTAAACCAAAAGGCAACGTAGGAAACCCTAAATAAGACAGACTACTCTCCATTGAAAAATCCATATGGGATTTCTCAGAGTCTTGCAATTTTGAGTGTCAAGTAATGAATGAATTGTGCAGGACGCCGACCCGTGTCCTGAGTTACCGCGCGCTGGTGGATGTTTGGGTTATTTACCTGCTTGAGGACATCAGCTGATGTTTGATAGGAGCAGTCAAAGATAACATAGAACTCCTTCCCCTTCTTCATCTCCTTCAGCAGAGGACGGGCGTCTTTGCTTCCAGTGGGCAGCTGGCGGATCTTGATTTTAATGCTGTATCTCGATGGAGCTTTGATGAGCTCTTGCAAACGAATCAGTCCTGAAACGCAAAGACAAAAAGACGATTAATAAACACATTAATCAGGTGTTTCCAGTGAAACGATTTTGCTGAGGCATTTAAACATCCATTATGCCAAACAAACTGCTTGTTTATGGACGACTGTGAGAAGAACAGTAATTAAAGCAGAGTACGTTTTTGATTGTGCTTTAATTTGTATTGAAATTTCAATAATTAATCTGCTTCAGTAACTGCATTTAAGTCACAGCCTCTAATTAAGTCAGTTGCAAATGTTTATGTGGCTTTTCTAAATAGATTTTAAAAACACCATTTAGCAACAAACCTGTCATTTTATTTAACCCCCACCGTGTCAACGCGTCTCTGTTGTCAGATCATAATAAGCAAGAAAGTTACTTTATTAATTGTAAATTATCCAAACTTACACACACTTTTAGCAATTTTATTTTACTAGTTTGGTACCAAAATAACATTTATCCATTAACACATGGCAGCTGTACTAGTTATATGCAAACTAAATTATTGTTTTTATTTAATTGTATTAATTTAAATAGTGGGTGACTTAGTTTTTTTTTTTTTTTTTTTTTTTGTAAATCCAGTACACTATTTAATGACTAATTATGTGATGGATGGACAAAAAAACCCCAAGATAATTCTTTAAGCTTGTTACTATCACAAGCTAACTGCTAACATAGTTCAGCTAACATTAGGGATGCTAGCTCGCTAGGTTTCTATTTTTGTTGCAGTTTCTTTCTTTTCTTTTTCTTTTTTTAAGAGTACATTTACAACATGTAATGTAGAAGATAAATTACTGTCGTCTCGAACAATACAGAGCAAACAACTAACGTCATATCATTAAACAGTGCTTAAAAACTGCTAAACTAATTGTAAATCTTTAGTTTAGCCACTACATTTTGAAACTTCTTCCCAGAAATAAATTTTGTCTGCACTGATGGTGCTAATTCTTGGTTGCAGTTCACCATTGTGTCCACAGGAGGGCACTAACTATTTGTTGACTATAGCGCTAACTGTCTTCACCTAGCATAAAGCAGCATAAAGCAGCATAAAGCAGCATAAAGCGGCCAGACTTCTGTCGTTGTTTAACAAAAAAATCTAAATTATTTGTTTCAGCTTTTCACCACCAAACAAAACAAGCCAGCTTAATTTAGGTAACAGTAAGAAACAAAAGCTAATGTTAGGACTAGAAAACTGTTAAAAACAACATATGTCACCATTCAATAATCCCAGCCGTTAGGCCTTAAAGACATTGGCCCTGTATGATAAGAGGAATAGTTTTCTAACTCCATTCTTGTTTATCTATATTTATATGTCTTTATATGTCTTTATTTCTATCCAGACTTTTAATCTTCATCTTCGACATTTTTAGAATGAAAAATCACCGTTACTGCACCCTAGCGGTCACACCGAGTAACTGCAACACTCAGTTATCAAAGTTAGCGTCAACAATATAATATCAGATGTCCGGCGCCGATTTTCAAAATAAAACTATCGAATTAGCCACTTCCGGCATATCGCTTTTCAATTGCGGTATTTCCTGAATAAGTGTGTAGGATTGACATGTGACCCAGGTGTGCCGATGCCGTGATGATATCTGTGGTGTGAGGTGATTGGAGCTAAACATCATTAGCATCAAGGAGCGAAATGTTTGCTGGAGGTGCAAGAGGCACACGTGCAGATGGAAATTACGGAAGTTTGGACGCTGCAGTCAAACAGTTGGTATGTTTTGGGGACATGTTGGGGGGGAAACCAAAGAAGAAGCTCGTCTGAAGGTAAGAAACCTGCTGCTTCAGCTCTGTCTCTGCAGAGTGATGCAGGGTGTGGATGTTTGTTTTGACCCAACATGTGTCACCATCATGCATTTTGTGATGCTTATGGATATATGTTATGTTGTTTATGTTTTTTTTTGAGGGACATTGTTTACATCAGCAACTTGTGTTGGTGCACTGTGGTGCTCCCTGACAGCCTGTTGGTTGGATTTTATCTGCAGTGTGAAAAAAAATCAGTAATTTTCAGATTTTTTTCCCCCTTTTTACGCATTATATAATTTATAATAATAATAATAATAATAATTTTAAAAAGACAATTAATTTACTTGTTTTATGTAAACAAAATATTAAAACTCTGGATAACCTTAAAATGTTCCAATTAAATTCATCAAATATTATCTTTTTAATTAATAGAAGCAACAAAATAGTATTAACATAGATTTGTTTGTTAACTGAGATATATCCTTATATATATAATTGCTGAAATTTTAGCAACAGAAATGTTTAATGAATGTGTTTTTCATTAGTCTATAATATTTATAAGAAGTGGCAGTTGGTTAAAATACAGTATCTATCTATCTGTCTATCTATCTAGTAATTTCAGTATTTTTTTTTTTTTTACATGTAAATATCCTTCATTAAACCCTAAAAAGCCCAAATTACACATGATCTCATGTAAAATTAAGGCATCAAGATCATTTTTAATTATGGAAAATTACTGTCTTTAATGAAATGGCTAGTTTGTGTTATATTACGGTACTTTCTGGCTCCCCAGCTGCTCAAATATTACTCCTGGGGTTTTTTTTCTATATATATTTCTTTAGTACAGTGTATATATGTGTGTTGCGGTTGTGGGCGAGTGTAGCATCTCTGTCTGCACAACAGATCAGATGTTAAGGGACTGTTGTCATTACAGCTTCCTTTGTTGCCACCTGGCCCAACATGTCGCTGCTGTGTTATTTGGCTCAGTGTGATGTTTTTATGTCTGCATACAGTCGCGGTTGAATTTGGCCACTCAGGAGGAAACCTGTGAAGTCTGTGGGTGAAATTATAGTGTTTGGTTGTACTCTAGAGTGATGATATGTTGCAGAGCCACTATATGGTGTGGACATTCTAATTTATGGTTTAAACTGGGGCTGCGGCGCTCGTTTATTTATTTATTTATTATTTTTACAATGAATCCCTTAATTATGTAATCCATTACATGAGAATAATGAAAAGTCCAGTGTAACCATCTCAAACTGGCTGTTCTGTTTGACCATCAGACAAAGAGAGATGGAAAATTCTCACTTTTGAAGGAGCTGATCATAGAAGAAGCTTTATAAACCATGAACAATCCAACATTAGAATTGCTGAAGCTACTTTTTTGTGATTAAACTTCTAATTGTTTCAGCATTTTAGCAATACGTGAATCAATTGAAGGTGTAATCTGTATTATTTTAGTTATCTGAATTGGAATAAAGCTGTAAAGCATTGAGAAAAACACTAACAAAGAGGTATATGTGAGCTTTGCTGTTAAAGCAAAAGTACATCACCCGTGACCTTTACCAACAGAAACACTAAATGAGAATGTTAGAACGCTAACAAGCTGGAGGAATGTGTGTCAGCGTTATTGACTTCTTCTGTACATGATTCTGAAAATCATCGTGAGAAAGTTTGAATAAGGAGGTTGGATGTCGACGGATTTTTGAACTTTTCTTTCTGAAGGTTTTCCTCTTTTATTGAGGCCAGCTTCTCTTTTCAATAACTGCAGCTTCACAGTGTAATCAGGATGTTTTCTCATTACTGGTCCCTTTGAAAATCTAATGTGCTAGACTTGGATTTTCTTGCTATATCACAAGATAAAATAACCCCATACTGCAAAGTAGGATTCGGGCACCTCGTCCTTTGAACTTATATGAAACTGTGATTGTTTCATTACAGCAATTTGAGCTGTCATGTCAGGGGTTTGATGGCACCATTACATCGATGGATAGTCTTTATTGTCCCGCAGGGGGAAAGCCTGCACTTGTTCATGTCTCACTTGAAATGACACAGAAATGTGAAATCGCACAGATTTATTTAGTGAAAAAACTCAATTTCTCAGCTTTATTTCTGTTTTGATACCCTGAATTTCCCTCCTTTGGGATCCCCGGTACATATATTGTGCCGTTAAATCTTATCTGGACTCACCAGTTGCGTCCTCGTAGACCACAGTGACCGTCTTCCACTTGTAGAACTGCACAATGTCCAGCACGGCTCTGCTTATAGAGGCATATTCGGGGTAGAGGTTAATGTAGAAGCTGTCCTTGTTGTCCACTGAGGGATGTTTCCAGCGTGTCTGGATGTGAGGGACTTCCAGGGCGTTACAAATAGACTGGACCGCACTGACAGATGAGCTGTGAGAGGGGCCAAACACAGCCCCGACTCCCAGCGCCAACTGGTCGCAGGCTGAAGTAATGAAACAGAAAGTGGGGGAGAAAATAACAAATGACCAACAGGAGCCAACAGCAATCTCTTTTAGTGATTCTCAGAAGGCTTTCAGAGTGAAATGAGACAGTGTTTACCTCTTCTTGAGGCCTCAAAACTGTCAAATAGGTTTATTCTCTGGATGTCATAGGTCAATGTGGTGTTTGGCATTAAGGTCCGGTTCCTGTTTATGTTGGTTACAGCGAATTTAAAGGCCAGCTCTTCAACACTAATGGGCTCATTTTCCAGCGTCTCAAAGATGCCCCCTGCAAGAAGAGCACAAACAGGGATGAGGAGGGTGTTAGCCGGGCGACAGCAGAGAAGTTAACGGTCGAATCGCTCCGTGCGGCGTCGATATTCACATCCAGCGCGGCGTTTGATAAAGTTTGAAGGTTGCATTCTCACGGTTGCATAACGCGGCCCAATTTCCCGCGTACTTCTATCACGTAACGCTACTAAGGGACCTGGTTGAGATGACAGAATTTAATCTAATTCAGATAAAAGCTTGACCTTTACTCACTTCAGCCTATTTACATTGCCAGAATTCCACCAGCTGACACAATGGCTTTTACACAGAAGTGCAGGACGATTAGGTTAGGAAGACATGCCACACATTCAGTTCATTACAGACCAGCTCCAACCGATAAAACATCTCGGAGGTTAACGTATTCAGCAATAAGCTCCAGTGGCTGGCATTTAAAAGCTACCGGCTCCCTTCTTTTTAAAAAACTAATAATTCCCTCCAGTTCAACACACAAACAGCTGCACTCATGTTTTCAGTCTTTTTCAATTTGCTGCTCTCGACTACAGTCACCTTCAGTGAAATCATACTTAAATATGTCGCCACAGGCTTCTGATTTATAGCATCATATAATCAAGCCCCAAAACATAATGTAATGTGCTGTAAAGAGGGTAAAGGTTAAGTGTTTCTGCTCAGAACACTCCCACCATGAAAGGCTGCCTCGCTTTAAAACACATACACTTGACTTTCTACTTATTTCTTTTTAGCTGGTTAGATGTAGTGTTCTGTTTCTTCAGGTAGCAACACTTAAGTATTAACATTGTTTTAAGGGTTTTTTTTTCTCCCCCAAACATTGTGTAAATCCCATACCAGCATCTGTGATTGTGACTTTCTGTGAAGTGCATCGCTTCAAGTGTAAAACTCAGTGTGTGAAAGTCACAGCAGCTGAACATGCAAAGGCGACCTCCGAGGTGTCAGCTGCTTCATTGTCTCTTCTCTGAGCGCTGGGACAGAAGGTAAACGCTCACAAGCTAACTGATGTTTTAATCAGCGGATTAACGTCGAGCACGGCCGCCATGTAAAAAAAAAAAAATGTACATTGTAAGATTAAAGGTTTTTCATTTACTAAAACATACTTAATCCTCAGCGACGCAATGTGTTATGATCCAGCCTCTGGGGTTAGGGTTAGCCGGATGTAACAAAAAAAACTGTTGTTGTCGGTTGAGGTGAAGCAACGTAGATGAGCACAAACAAACGGTGGTGATGCAAAGAAAACAAGTGGATGTTGCTGAAATCAATGAACCAAATACTTAAATACAACAGCGACACCTTCACCATCAGCTTGCACTTAAAAACCAACTTTTCCGTGATCCTTTGCAGAAAACATCACGAATGTTTTCATACATTTAGGGCTATAAACAATCATTTTCATGATCAGTTAATTGGTTGATCAGTTTTTGTAATATACATTTTGTATAATGGCAGTCACCAGATTGCTTATTTTTCATCTAACATTTCAAAATCTGGAGATAATCACTTTAAAATGATATAAAATATCAACTCTTCACAGTTACTGAAAAGGCACCTAATCGACTTACACTGGGAGGAAATGACAGATTCAGATATTATATGATGCTTCCATTTCCACCTTTTTGAACGTTATGACTGTACAAGTAGGTGATAAACCCTGGCCAGTGCTTTTAAAATTTAATTTCAAGATATATTTCCCCTGTTGAAATGATAACTTTCCAGCTCCAGTAGGCGTGTGTGCCACAGAGAGGAGGGCGTTGACTCCGAGTCGAGAAGATCCTACTGAAAACCATCCAACTCTTAATCCGTCCCCTGCTGCTCCAGAAAGACGGCGGCTCTAGCATGCCACAGCTGGCAGTATGGATATATATGTATTACTCCAGCTAGGCACGAGCGCAACGTACAACGTTTTGCATTTCAGTTACATAAAGCGGGAGCATGAAAAGGATTAAGGCCAGAAAAGTGCTGGATTGTCACTGGATTGTTGCTACCTGCATATAGGGCAGGCGTGTGAGATTCAGTGTCCTTATCCCTGCTCGTCGGGTTCGCTCAAGCCTTTCAAATGTAAATCATTTAAAACATCTGGGCCTCCCGCGATAGGATTTCTGAAATAATACATTCAGAGCTAAATGTTTGTTCTCACTACACCGACATTCACACGTGCAGACGGACACACGGCTGAACAGTGAGAGGAAGGCAGCTTCTTTAGCCTAAAACACATGCAAAATACGCTGCTGCCAAGTTTAACATATTCATATGATTATTCTTTACAACAAAACAAAGATGGAAAGAAAGCCCTTTAAAAGCTCTGCCATTTGCAAAACTGTTAATCAATGATTGTATTAACCGTGAGCCCAAATAATAAAGATGCCATTTAGATGCTGCAAGAGTTTGCAAATGACCTCACTTCAACACTGAGGCTACAGATGGCAATAGGTCATTGCACTCTCTAACAGTCTTTGAAGAATTGCCTGTGAAATTGTGATTGATTTGGAAGGAGAAAAGGCCTTTAAGAAGCTCCCCTTGAGACCTTGATTGTGAATGACCTTTTTCTTTGGTGTTGCATAGCCTCAAACCCCCAAACTGAGAGAGCCTTGTCTGGACTCCCTGGTCACTAAAAGCATGCTTGAAAGTGCCAATCCTAATTATGGTGACCAAGCCTCAGTGAGCAGCTGCTGGGACCTGTTAAAATCCTTAATTCTGTCCACTGGAATATAAAATTTAGAGGGAAAAAAAAATACAATAACATCTCCTAAACTTGCCAAGGGAATGTTTTCCATCGGTCTGTCTCTGATGTGACTTTTTCTCTCAAGGTGTTTAAATGGGGGGAAAAAACAAAAAAACATGAGATTAGCTTAAAGTGCAGAGGCTGCAGCAAATGTCATCGGTTTTCTAAAAGGTTCAGCAACAAAATAATACAAGTGGCATCATCGCTGCTCCAACGAGCGTTTTTCTTTCTTTCATGGTTTAATAAGGTTGTGAAAATGGACGGTCTCATTTGTGAGGAGCAAAAATAGCTGCTGCTGCTATTTACATTTTCTTATTTACATTTTTTCATAGTTGACCTCTAATTAAAACACACAATTATATCCTAAAATGAAGCCAGATGTACTGTATAGATCTAAAAGTGAGCCAAAAAATGAATAATAAAAACACAGGGGCTCTATTTCATTCCCTGAAATAATAAAAAAAATGGATAGCTTATAAATTCTATGTTTAAATATATATGAGAGCAATAAAGCTCGGTTTATAGAATTTCTTTCTTCCAGCAAGAAATGAATGTACCCTCATTGATAATCCTCCAGTAGTTCTTGTCATAAATAAATGAAAACTGACGTATTAGCAGCTGTCAGACAGCATCAGCGACCACTTGCACGTCAGCGTGAGAACTGTGCACAAACGGACACGGATTTGGTAAAGCTTTTATATTTTTGAAATGAGCTCCTCCCTCCTAACTTTTACAGCCAGCCAAAGACAAATATAATATCTATATTATTGTCCCGTTTCTTTTTCATTTCCTCTTTTTGAAGCTTTGTGAAAAAAGCACCAGTGAAAAGGAATCACGCCGTCTCTGCCTTCATTTCCACCTGAGATATGATCTTAAATTTTTAGTTTAAAGTATAATGAGTTTTGTGATTTCCAGAGAGCGACCCGGGGGATCAGGCTGTTTGTTCTCACTCAGCCTGAGGAACGTTGGTTCAAGCAATCAATGCCGGTCCGCGAAATATTTCTACTGTTACAAGTAGCCGAGCTCTACTCATTATTAACGAAGGTGATCGTTCTCCGCGTCAGTGAACGATGAATCTGTTCGCTGGCTGATGTGCAGCAGAGCACTAAAGCTAATATAGACGCTATTGTTGTCAGACTCGTGACCACCATCAACCCACAGACATCTGGAGTGGAGCAGCAGCAGTATTCCACTTCACTCGTGGAAAATTGATTTCAAATTAGCATATATATTCATGCGGTTGAAAACTGAGGCAAGCAATTTCAATTAAAATACTTCACAAAAACACTATGCTCATATCACCAGAGAAAATAATCAAGTCCCCCCCCTGCCCCAGGCTCCAACGGCTGTGGTCCAATAAGACTTGAGTCAACACCGATGTCCACAAAGAAATGTAAAGACGGCTTCAGACTTTTATTAAGTTGCACAAACAGTCTTGGAATTTTGTGTAAAAGATCAGAAAATCAACAAGCTTTGCCTGCAGCTCGATGCAATATTTCATGTCCATCTGTTTGTCTGGTGGGAAACCTTTTTTCATCATAGCATCAGATCCAAACCGGTACAAATGTTTAACCTATCATCAGGACTTTGACGCCCAGCTGATACTGACATGTTTGAAAAGTTCAGTTTATTAGTTGTTCTTTTACATCATATATAACAAAAACATGTTGATGAGTATCCCTTAAATTTGTTATTTTAAATTACTGTGATGGAAGTATGCAGAATAAATGAGATTAAAAAATGTTTGATTAATATTGAGAGCGTGCAGAACTAGATATGTGACATGATGACACTATTAATCATTTGTGCATATAGTTAATTAACAAATGTATATAGTACATAAATGAGTATCTTCTAAGAAACTGATCCTGTATGAATTTTGCATCACAACACTGTGGCCTGTAAACAAACCTGGCCAGACACAAGCCGTTGAGCCTCGGCGCCGTGCGGCTACTTTTTGAGTCCAAATTGGGTCAGAGGATCACGGCTCAGTGCATCTTCATATTCAGCATTTCTACATTTCATGGATTAGAACAGCCCAACACTGTCAATGGGATCCGTTTTCACTACGATACAGAAAAAACGGCGAATAAGAATCCCGCTCTGCCTGCTTGCAGATGACACATGGATCAATGCACTCCCAAAATAGGCTATTAGCAAGCAAGTAAACAAAGAGACACGAAGGTATGACCTGCCAAGGATAATTTATACTTGAATAATTACAAGTTCGAACAATGAGATGCAGGTTAAACCCTAAAAATTAGAGCAGAAATCACAAGTTTTTTTCTACACAACCTTCACGCATTTAAGAATGTCAGCATTCACCTGGACGTCCTCAGAAATCAAATTAGATTTACAATGAATGCCCGTGTATTAATGCTGCTTTTGCAAGTATAAAGGTTCCTTCTGTGTGAGCTATACTCTGCAGAGTTTACTGTTTCTCATCATCGCCTCATGATTAATGTAATTCAGAGAGTATGAATGAAAACCCCAGTTATAGCGAGCATTAATGCAGTTCCAGTATAATTTACAGGATCACTGAACTTCCATCTCATCTTTAATAGGCCAGACAATGCTGTGGGGCGATGCATGCTAGGAGGTCACAAACAAAAAAAAAAGATTCTGCTCGTGCTGCAGGCGAATGCTGATAAACCCTTAGGCTGTGCTTTTTATAGACTTCTGTTCCTCCCCTTCGCTGCTGAGATCAAGAAAAATAACATTGGTTCAGGTTTAGGCAGCTTGACCGACCTTTTTTTTTTTTTTAATCCGGAGACCCAACGGATAACTTTAAGAAACTGATCTTTAGCTCATGATTTTAATCTGTTTTTGTGATTCTGTGCAATTATCAGATGAAGGAGAGTCTCTTAAGGCAGCGGAACACAATGACGTAGTGTTGTGCTTTCTCCCCTCTCCCCATCCTGGGCCAATGAGACCTCCCACCACCCCCTCACCCCCACCCCAACAACACCACCAGCACCACCACTCCAACCTGGGCCCATGCCAGACTGTGAATGAATGAGGAGGTCCTAACCAGTCTACTATGTTCGTTTGATGTGGAGCACTGAGGTTTCTCTGTTTAAAGGGGAGCCGCTAGCGAGCCACCACCAAAACATTTAATCGGAATTAAAACCCAGAATTCTGTATTATCCAGAAAACCCGGCCCATTTACAAAACCTGTAAGCAGGAAGATGGAGATTATATTTGAACTATACATGCATCAGATATCACCAGAACGTGAAGTGTACAAGCTATAGAGAGAAGAGGAGGAATGTAATAAACAGGAAAATATAGTGGAAACCACAAGCTGTTGATTCTGTGCTCTCCCCAATGATGAGATTTGGTTGCTGCCTAAGTACCATATTTGGGGAAGAGACTTTCTGCATAAAGAAGATTAGTGTTAGTTGTTTAAGGGCTTGGGGGAGAAGATTTACCATTATTACCAACCCCAGTGTGAGAGTGAAAGCCAGTCACAATCTGATGCCAACACTTGCCAAGACAGAGAAATGTTAATTGAGCCAAGCCACACACCATATGGGAGAGATTATGATGTGTGCGGGTCATGAAGAGAATGACAAAGATTAGGTGGCCTTGGAGAGTGATAGATGATTGAGAGAGATTAACAATATAGAGTACAGATCAGGACAGAAGAAACCAGGAGGTGGCACCGGCCTATTAGCCTTTAAAGTTACGCAACGCCACATTTAATAAACTGGTAAAGTCTTAAGGAGTGAAGGAAATTCAGAAAAAAATATGTAGTTGCCGTGGGCGTTAAGCGGAGCAGAGAGTCTTGAGGCCTACATTTTTTAAAAAGTGATTTTTGTGATGCAATCTTCTAACCCATTAGAGGAACAGTGGATAACCAATGGGAGAGCAGCAGACAGCCAGAATGCATTAATTTGCAAAGCAACACCAGCTCATTGTTGCACAGTTACATCAGAGATCAAAGGGGGATGGTTGGAGCAAGAGTTCTATTTGTTTAATTACAAGCGCAGAGTGAAGTTGAAAGTTGAATTCTTGTCAGCTCTCAAAGGCTTAGCAGATCGTTTTGGACCCGGATCCACGTTCGCAGATGACATCGGCCACTGCGCCACGGTCTGAAACAACTTGAGTATGTAAGAAAGGATAGAAGCCAGATATAACAAAGTTTCACTGCCCACTCTTCATTCTTTAACGCTGTATCCATTTCACATTGCTGTGTGCCAGAGACACCATTACGCCAACAGTACATGCTTTCAGATGCAGCAGTAGGCCAACTTAATCACCCATCTCCTTCTGGTTTGTGCTGTCAACGTGGAAGGAGCAGAGAGAGAGAGAGAGACTGAGGCACTGGCCAACCAAAGTGGATTAACATGATTTTGATAAAAACCAATACAGTTGTTTCATTTGAACAATCCACCACCCTGTCCTCAGTTCCTCCCTTATGGGAAAGAAAAAAGAAAAAAAAGACAATAATCCAGTGGGGAAACGTATAAGGATACTATGCAAACATCACAACAAATGGAAATGCGGTTTTCTACTCACACTAATTCTGCGATCGCAAGATTCAACATTAGTGACACAATGACAGATAAAACATTTAACACCTGAAAACACATACACAGTGTGCCTTGGGTACCAAGTAGCCCAGTGTGTTGACTCTCTATAGAAACGTTAAAGGGATTTAAATGCACATTTTGGTTGAGGGTAATGCAAGTTAAAGGGTTTCCCGTAGCCATTTACATGAACAATTACTATAAGTGGATATTGCTGCATGACATCTACATGCTCAATCTCATTTATACCCCTCGCTGGCAATAATTATTTGTAAAAGACATTAAATGATCCTCAGAAGGAAGCGGAATAAGATGCTCCATAGGCACCGTGAGAGTTTAGAAATACCATGCATCATGATTAAAGCCACAAAAAGTCTTTTAAATTATAGATGTATGATATAAATCTCAGTGGGAAATGAGATGAAACCCAATATGCATAATTATGAGGTCAAAAATGAAAGAGGAGTGCACACTGGCAGCCTGGATATTAACAGTTATGGCATTAAAAAAAACACTTTTAGCACTTACCAATTCTCAGGACTTGCTGCGAAGTGAGCCAAAACTCTGCCATAAAGTAGAGCAGGGAAAATAACAGTCCCTTCCTTTTCACCATGGTCATTCCTCCAGAGTCGAATTTAACATCGATATCAATTTTCCTGCCCTTTAGTAATTCATGCTGATAACTTGCCAGTCCTTGTATCCGTAACGAAAATAAACTGGTATCCGACCCACATCCATCCCTCACACATTGTGATGAGAAGAAAAAAAAAACAACAAAAACACACTCCACTTGCAGTTGTCACAGATCAAAAGACCTCCCGTTTTCCCATTCTATGATCCTTTATGTGCCAGTAAGGTTTTGTTTCCCCATTTTCACTGTCCAGACATCCTTCTTATCATGTTTTTCCCGGTGCACACTTGAATTGTAGGCTGCAACTGAGGAGGAGGACCGTGCACTGTGCTCCTGCTGTCAAGACTGCAAGAATAGAATACAGCTTCTGATCACAGCTTTCAAAATAAGGGAATGAAGATGCTGCCAATTCAAATTTGCAGTCATGGAAAATAATAGAATGCCTTTATTGTCATCGCACAGCTGTACAATGACATTTTAGAGCAACCCCTGTCAGTGGGACAAAAGAATAAAAGTGCAAAATTAGAAAATAAAAATAAACACACTCAACAACTAAAAAAATTGGTAGCAGCAAAAATATTGCGCAGTTTCATCAGGATAATATTAAGCGCTTAGCCGCGATATTTCACAATTTCTGTTGACAATATGAGAAATTAAAAATATGTTTATTGAGGAATTTGTTTATTTTAGACGTTATCTTTGCATTTCAAATAAATTGCTTAAAATACTCAAAATCCAACACAACCTCGCCACAGTGCTTGCGACTGACACATATATTTAGTGGCTTATGATCTTGTTTTCCTAAGTTTGTAGTCATCTAAACCTTTAATTTTAATGTTTAGATGAATCCCTCTGCGTCCACTGCTGCTCAATTTACCAACCACTGGAATGGTTTTATTGTGAAATCCAGCTTGCCTCGCTTCTCGTGTCCCTCGTCGTGCCCTCGGCTGACTTGACGCCGCTGAACATCTCTGCCATACAGGCGCTCAATTGAGGGCACAGCCAAGCCGCTGATCCGCAAACATGGATACGTCCTGAAGATTAACTTCAAATCTGGCAACATTCGACCTCGACAACGTCTTTGCTTTGGTACACCGAGGAATGATTAAATCTTTGCTCCAGTCCTGATGGAAATGCAAATCTAATCTTCAAACTGGTCGGTGACGCTCCCTTGAAGATTAACTACCTCAAACCGTTTATCTGACACAGTCTTGTAGTTAAATAAAGTGTGCTCATGTTACCTTAACCTGCTTTGCTGGGTTCCTTGAAGCAGAGTGGTTTGGTTTGGAGTCGCCAGTCAGCAAACCACATCTCTCCAAGTTGTGGAGATGCATCAGGAGTCTCAGATGGGTGAGATTAGTGTAATCTTACTATTTGGTTCCTCAGAAATTAGCCAATTTAGAGACTGATGGGAAGGATTTTGCTCAAATATGTATCCTGAACAGGCGTTTTGGGGGAGTTTGTCAAATGGTTATGCAATTTGAAGTTTCGACAGCAGATGAAAAAGTAGAAGACATAAAGACTATCAAGTCACCTCCAGAATAGGAGCCTATTGTTTTGATATCCAAAACCCAAAACTATGGTTTCATCAAGAACATCACCTCATGTTGATGAGCATCAGGAAGGAGAATATAAGAATCACTCCATCTTTTTATCATTTACCTATATTGCCTGAGCCTGAGTTGTTGTTTTATCCTCATCATTAAGTTTAGTTTAACATTAAGATCTTAGCTTTAATCTGAAGAAAGTGACGGCTAAAGAAATGCAGTGGAAAGAGGGCGTTATTCCGCTGACACCTGCAGTAAGTAGGGAAGATTTCACCGTCTGTGCAGGTTTGAGGACACTCATCTGGGTCTCCGGTGTCATCTAGTGGTGAAAAATGACAATGTCGAGAACTGGTTCAGGCCACTGGTTCATGGCGTTCACGTTGTCAAGAAATTTGAAGCGGCCAGCATGTGGTTGCTTTAGTCAACCAATAATTACAACACTTGAAATAATTGCTTTTGCTTTTTCAAAGCATATTTAAATTTCAAATCTAGTTCTGATTTCTTACTTTTTCCACATTAAAATACAGTTTGACACAAATAGATTTTCAGTGCAGCTTAATACAACACTTTTCCAGCTACCTCAAGGTTTTGAGCATAATTAATTAAACATCAACAAGGATTTTAACATATTTTATTTCAAACAATAATGCACTTAGTGATGCGGTGCGGAAATAAACAAGCGAAATATGTAAATTATTGTCTGAACAATTGTCTGAACATGGGCACAACACAGGGAAGCATTCTTACAGGGTTGACTGTCTAGCAGAGCTTACACTTGGTCTGCAATTAATGATTAATGTTGTTCTCAAATTATGTAGTATTTTCTTATTTATTTGGCTAGGTTTTTTGTATCTATACAATTTTAGGAAATAGTAAAGAAAGTAATAAAATTGATTAGTGTTTCCCAAAGTCCAACATGATGTCCTCACATGTCCTGTTTTGTCCACAATCCAAAGATATTCAGTTTACTGTCAAAGAGGAATAAAGAGACCAGGAAAAATTCACATTTAAGAAGCTGAAATCAAAGAATTGAGACTTATCTTTAAAACAACACAAAGTGATTTATTGCTTATCAAAATGGGCAACTAGTTTCCTAATTGACAGCTTAAGAGTTACAGTTCTAGTTTGTACAGACGCTCCATTTACCTTAACTGCTTATTTTTAGAGAACTACTGCCCCTGTGGAAAACATAACAATTGCGTTCAGACCCAAAGTTGCTGAATGACCTACTTTATCCTACAAAATTCCACCGCCAGATACTACGCAATTAGTTCCCCAAATATTTTCTTTAATGATCACCGCTAATGCAAACTATAACAAATGACGAGCAAAAGGAGAAATAAGTTATGTGATTATATTCGAGTGGTGGCGAGACAGTTTATTAGTGAAAAGAATCGTAAGACAAAGCACGCTGGAGCACATAGAATGATAACTATAACAAATTTAGAAATTATTGAACAGATGGTTATAAAGATGCAAAACATATGGCTGTGACGTTCCATACAAATGCTCTCCCATGAATCTTCATTTTGGGAAAGTAAACTCCTAGCAGGGCTCGTATCTGCTAACTCCTAGCAGTATCACCTTTTATTTACACTAACAACAGTAGCCATGTTCAGCCTGATCATATAATCTATACATTTTTTGCACAATACAAATGATAAAAAATACATTACTAGTAAGACAAAAGTTCAACATATTATTTCTTTTGAACAGAAATGAAACTCATCTTCTCAGTTAGCTTGTGGTGATTGAGTAAAAATGCATAATCCTTTGGGTTTGTAAAGTCTGATCAGCTACAAAAAGATTATTCTTTATATATACACACCAGCTCTGCTCCCACCGTGAGGCCCTGGTTCCATTTTCGATGCTTTATAGCTTACGAAAACAGGAGTGTGTGGAACCGGGTGAAAGCTGGACTGGTAGGACGCAGTGGGGTTGCCAGTATAAGTCATTGTATATGGTGTTGAGTTCTGGCTTATGTACAAGGAGGTCCCAGGAGTGTACAGGCTTCCACCATGATTAGAACTCTGCATTGAGGGACGATGAGACATGCCACCTTGATATAGTAATGACGCATTTTCAGGAGGAACTGGGCTATAAGCAACAGGCATTAGTGCTCCATCATTTGCCATCACGTGAGGGACGTTTTGCAGTGGCACAGCAATTTGTTGTCCAACAGAGCCATTGTTCTGCAGAGAGTTGTGATATGAAGTCGCCCCGAGGCTGGAAATACTGGAAATGGGATGATACCTCATCAGAGTTGGTTTGCTGGGCGTTGGCTTGTAACCGAGTAAGTGCGCTGGGTGGTACACGTCAAACGAACCTTTGTCTCTGGGCATACGGCGACAGACAAACAACAACCCCGACGCGAAAAGGAAGGCGCCAGTCACCCAACCAATGTACAGAGCCTCTCCGAGCTCCCTCCTCTGAGCATCAATCAGCAAAGGATTGTAAAAATCCCTAATGATAACGTGACCCGTCCATGACACTGGGATAAAGACACAGATGCAGGCCATGAGTTGCATAGCCCCTGCAACCATCAGGATAACGGTCTTAGCCCAGTCATTCCCCTGAAAACAGGAGGTGCATCGCATCCCTGCCATAGCAACAAGAAGCCCCAGTCCTGACAGGGCCACGGAGCAGCACATCAAACCCCGGGCAGCCTGTAGCTCAGGGGGTAGAAACAGCAGGGAGTCGTATACCTTACACTGCATCCTGAAGTTGGCTTGTCGGAAGCAGTTCATCCACAAACCCTCCCAGCGGGTTTCCATCACAATTATGTTCTCCCCAATGAAAGCCGTCACCTTCCACATGGGCAGTCCTGTAGTCGCGGCCGCACCGAACAGCCCGATCAGGCCGACGCACACAGCAGCGATCTCAGAAGCACCTTGAACCATTGTTCAGTATACAAAAGTCCAGCTGTGTCTTAAATTAGATGACCTCACATCCACAACAAATCCAGATTCTTTAGGAAAACATTTCAGAGAAAGGAAACGCTTCCAAGGCAGTGGGGATCTCATCTGACACTGTTGTTTACAGTAAGAGGTAGTTTATTATGGGAAAGATGCCTTGCTGTCACCTGGTTGGCTCAGGGGGATGCAGGTAAAGAGGCTGTCTGCTTATTTTGTGTTTACGGTAAGCAATAGTGGTATATCGGAGTCATCAGTTTTTCTGACAGTAAACACACGAAACAAGGAATTTTAACAGCTCACAACTTAAAGTTTCATCGCTTGACGTGTGTTTATTTTTTGCATGTGGTACAAATTCAGAAGTAAACATGAATGCAGTGTTGCACAGTTCAGCTCCAGCAGTTCTTGTGTTCTCCACAAGGGAGCAGAGAGGACCTTCTGGGTAATGAAACAAGAGGGATCTCACATAACACAGTCCAAATACACTTACTGATTGTTATAGTACATTTTTATAATCTCACAAAGTTCAAATTCTGTGTAGCAAATCAACATACATTTTGTATTTGAGAATGTTAAGTGAGTATAAAACAAATAAACGTTAAGATGTTACCATATGCAGAAAAAAACCCAACATTTCCATTCTGCCACCAAATATTTCCAGTATGAAACAGCAATGAAATTACTGTGCCTTTACAAACAGATTTTATGCCACTTTTCTGTTTATAAAATATTGCATTTAGTGTTTCGGGACTGGAGGCTCAAATTTTGCTTTGAACTACAGTTTGCTTTTGAACTTAAAGTGAAATGAAGTGACCTTCGAGTTTACAAGCTATTATACTGGATTGAATAGAGACAGAAATGTTTTCAAACACATAAAGCTGGAATCAACACAGAAATGGCCCGGAGAACAATCCAGTCGATAGCTCTTTGTGTTTTCTTTCAAAGTGACTTGCAAATTTGGATCACATGATCATGTTGCTAAAACACGAAGCCCTCAGGCTAAGGTGCTTCTGAGTCCGCACCTTTTAAACAAGCAGTCTCAAACCTGTATGCCATGTTTAGACAACCATTTGCTCAGTTTTTATTACATCAGCTCCTACGTGCTCTAGATCATCATACCAAACTTAAAGACTGGTGAATGGTTTCTGATTAAATGATTCACTAAATGAGTTTTAGACATAAATGTTTATGTCAAGCATTCATCCACCAATATAGCATTGTCATCCTGACTGCCCACACTTTCTGTCTTTGTGTATCATGTTTTTGAACCAGCAAAACTGTCAGAAACTGAGAAGGAAAATAGGACTATGTGTATGATGTGTCAGTGCCTGTGAGAGGTCATTTGTGCCACATGAATGTGTGATTTTTTTTTGAGACATATTTGGACACACAGCTCAGATACAGCTAACGTTGAAGGCCGAGGAGTTGAAATACCTGAAGCATTAACTGTCTTTACAACTACACGGATCTGTCATATGTGCCAGCAACAAACAGTACAAACAATTATACTTGTAGGTGTCACATTACTCAGTGGTTAAAGGTTATGTAAATTGTTATATACAGCAAACATATTAAAAAAAAACATACATAGAAAAATAAGGCTGTGAGTATAAAATCTGATTAACACGCATAAAATAAAATGTATTGGCTCACAACGGCAATCTTGAAATCAATAGTTGAGATCACAATGCAGTAACTAGTGCTTTTTAAGTACTTGTCAAATTATGCACAGAAATAGTGAATAGTTAAAACCATCCAGACTATTTAAATCAGAATTATTTGCTTTCACATTAAATGTATTCATTGAAATGTTTTTAACCTGAAATGCGTAGATTGCACTGCCATGCCAACCCATATTAAAAAGAAAAGTGATTGAAAAGAGGGACCATAGCTGATCATTGTTACTTCAGGTGTTCAGAGATAAGCGATCCCGCTGCGTACAGAGGGGTACCTGGAGTGGTAGCTGTAGCTGGTTGATGGGTGTCTGGACAGCACTGGCTGAGGCTGTGGTTGTGGAAGTAGCACCAGCTGTTGAGGCTGCAAAGGCTGCAAAGGTTGTGGAGGATAGGCCATGTAGTCTGAGTTCCTGGAGTACACGTACCTCTCTGAACCTTTGCCTTCGGACTGCAGGTTGCAACAAATGAACATGCATCCTCCAGCGAACAGGAAAGCGGAGGCCACCCAGCCGATGTAGAGAGCCTCTCCAAGCTCCCTGCGCTGTGCGTCGATCAGCAAAGGGTTGTAGAAGTCCCTGATGATGACATGACCCGTCCAGGACACCGGGATAATGACGCAGATGCAGGCCATTATGATCATGCTTCCCGCAATGATTAAGACCAGTCGCTTAGCTCGGTCGTTGTTTTCGATACACGACGTGCACTGCAGCCCTACCAAGCTGATCAGCAGACCGAGGCCACCCAGCGCCAGAGAGCAGCACATGAGCCCTCTTGCAGCCTGCAGGTCAGGGGACAGGGCCAGAAGAGAGTCGTACACCTTACACTGCATCCTGATGTCGGCCTGCCGGAAGCAATTCATCCACAAGCCCTCATAGCGGGTCTCAAACACGATGATGTTCTCCCCAATGAAGGCTGTGACGCGCCACATCGGCATTCCAGTGCTTGCTGCTGCCCCAATCAACCCAATCAGGGTCAATAACAGACCCACGATCTCCAGTGCTGAGTTTGCCATCCTGTCCTCTTCTTACTCATCCAATCTCATTGGTACAATAGTGTCTTGACACAGTGCGACTATCATAGGAAGCAGTAGATTCCCTGTATGGAAGGCTTCGGATCCAAGAGGAGGAGCAGGTTGATGTTCACCTGGTCGGCCTCCTCCCTATGGACATTACACAGGAGTGGGAGGGGGTGGGAAATGTGACCTGTTGCTAGGAAATAGATTCCCCCAGGCCTTTTTTTTTCTTTGTACACCAACCCCAGGAGCTGCTCTAAGCTGCCACTTTGTTTGCTCAGAAGTCTCCATTTACATTCTCGGATCTCACTTTACAAGGAAACGTAAGGTGTTTATTAACATGGGGAACATATTTAAAGTTGACCAATTCATCTTAACCTGTGTGCATGTAATTGAATATTGTGTTAATGCATTACCTGCTATAACTACAGATATTATAAAATTGTTCCGCTCTGGTGCTTAACCTTGTTGGGTTTTTTTTGTTTGTTTTACATTCAAAATCATTCACTGGTAATTTTTCAACATATGCTGCCATCTGTTTCAAACCTTTGCCAATAGTTACAATTGCAGTGCAGCTGGAGACATAAAAAGAGCTTTTAAAAGGATTTGTACATAACTGTTTGCGGTGGGTATGTGGGTTTTTAATAGATGGAGGTAATACTTGTGTGCCTATGTGCTACTGTCAGTGTTGTATTTCTTATCTCGGTCTCTTGTGTCAGTCTGTGCTCAGGAAAAAGCTGGCCGTTGCAGCTTTGGCTCTGATTAAATGAAGTCTCCTGGTAGGTTTGTGTTGTGGGTGGACCTGTGTGAACAGCCTGGTTTTACCAGTTTAGGCACATTTCCACTGACAACAATGGAGACGACATAACAACTTTCCTTTTGCACGTCAGTGAGTGAAACGGGCACAATTTCAACAGAAACCTTTGAATCTGAGGCAAACTGAGAAGCTTTTTGGCAGGAGTGAAACACTGGTCATCATGTAATGAATAGTAGACTCTTTACTTTTTTAATAAGCTTTATCTCCCTTAATTAGACAATGAAAAACATTGACAAACTTTTCGTTTTTTTTAACAGTTGTATTCCTTTATTGAAAACTGCAATTGACCTCACATTTAGGCCAGCATTTTGAAAAGTATGTACATTTACGAAAAACTCAAAACACACATGAACACACACCAGGTGGAGGTCAATTATCTGAAAAAGGCCTAGTGCATAATTTATTCTCAAAGAGCATGTCAGCAGAGGCAGTATTCTTAACAAGTAACTTGTATTATTAAAGATTATGTATACTCTGAGTATACTTTAGTGTAAATTAAGCATATGGAAACAAACAAAGCATACAGTTATTCAGCACAGTCCATCAAGGTCAAAACACAATCAGGTCCATAATGAATTTTAATCTCTGCAATACACTTCATCCCCTTTGAGGAAGTAAGGAAATGTGGCCATTTCCAGTGACTGCCGTTGGTCTTATCAGTCAGTTGATTCCTCTCATTTAAATGTTCAAAATAATGGCAAGTTCATGAAACAAGTCCAGAATGGTCTAGTACTGAGTTGGTGTATACGCCACTGATCCTGGTGGGGGTGCGGAGTAGGGAGGCTGGTAGGTGTAGGCTGGCTGGTACGTGTATGGCTGGTATGTGTACGCAGGTTGGTAGATATTTCCCGCGGGGTTGTATACAATCCTCTCCTCGGGGTCCTGGGTGCGGGGAGCGTGACGGCACAGCAGGATCACTCCGGCAGTGAAAAGCAAAGCTGAGGTCACCCAGCCAATGTAAAGAGCCTCCCCGAGCTCCCTGCGCTGGGCATCAATCAGCAGAGGGTTGTAGAAATCCCTGATGATAACGTGGCCAGTCCAGGACACGGGGATTAGGGTTGTGATACAGCCCATCAGGAACAGACAGCCTCCAGCCACGAGAACAATATGCTTGGTGCGGGCCCGATGGTCCACCACTCTGGTACACTTCATCCCCACCGCTGCCACGATGAGGGCAAAGGTGGTCAGAGCCACAGAGCTGCACATCAGACCCCTGGCAGCCTGGAGGTCCGGAGGCAGAAACAGCAGGGAGTCGTACACCTTGCACTGCATCCTGATGTTGGCTTGTCTGTAGCAGTTCATCCACAAACCCTCCCAGCGGGTCTCCATGACAATGATATTCTCCTCAATGAAGGCTGTTACCTTCCACATCGGCAGGCCCGTCACGGCCGCCACTCCGATTAGTCCAATGAAGCCGATAATAAGGGCCACTACCTCACAACAGATGGCATCCCGGCGCTTCTTCTTCTCAAGTCTCTTTTTTTCCTCATATACGGAGTCGTTGTACTCTTCGTAGTTCTGAGGCTGCTTCTCATCGTAGTAGGAGCCCACGTAAGATTGAGGCGGCTTGCTGTAGCCACTGTAAGCGGTGTAGGAGGCCATTGCGGCTAACACAGAGAGCCAAACGTGGACTTTTGGCTGCTCTCACACAGCTCAGGAGACAAATATGAGGAGGGGAGGAAGTCAAACAACTTATACACCCACAAAAAAATGCTAACGATGCAATGCGGCCTTACTGGTTGAGCTGCTTTCCAGCCATCAGATAAATGGGGACACACCATAGAGAGGTTTTTGTTTTGAATACAAATGAAACTGGCACTACTCGACTAACAATAAGAACTTAATCACACTTAATCAAAACTGATTAATTCACTGTATATAACCATAGCTGATCAAAGTTTAGTTCTTTTCTTTTAAAATATGGATACAAGACATTTCAACACACTTACATGACTACAGAGGACAATGTTTTTGTGTTAAAAAAACAAAAACTCAACCTAATTTAGCCCACAAACAGGATAGAAAAAACGGGCTATGAACTTGAAAACACTGTACATGAAATCTCATTGCTATCACTGAAGCTAGAATTAACTAATTACATGTGCAATCCCGTCTCTGAAAAGAATTGATATTGAATAAAATATTTGATTATTACGTAAAACAAAAAGGAACTTCACGGTGTCCTTTTTTTTGTCCAAATCTAAGTAGGTGGTGGCAGCACTCATGGGTGTAGCTGACAAATGTAGTGTCTCACAACCTGAAAGCTGATAGGATGATCACAGATGTCAAACTGTCTGCTCTTCTCAATGTAAAGTGAGCTGATTAAAAAGGTGTTGAGCACAGAAACTTGAGGAGGGTTGGTTTCATTGGACCTCTTGTCCTCTTGCCAGCAGTTGTCAATTTGTCGCTGCCACACTGAGGTGTTGCTGCCCTCGCAAACATGAAAACAGCGTGTTTGCATATCATCTGTGCATAAATTGAGTTGTTTTTTTTTGCCATTCTGCTGCATTTTTTAAACCCAAGGAAAAAAAACTAAACAGTCTACAGTGTTAGATATAGTTGCTTAAAAGTCAGTATTTTATTTTTTGTGGCATGCATGATAGAAATATAGAAATGGACACAGAAAAGATGTACCACAAGTAATGAAACATTTATTGAAGGAGCCGTTGACTTATTTGACATGATTGTTTGGTCATGAGATATTACCAAATCACTATACTGAAGAACAATTCAGCATCTAATAGTGAAGTTTACAGTTATAAAGGCAAAACAAAATGACATGGCAGTACAGAATCACAAAGAGCACTTGTATTTACGTATTATTTCTGAACTTACGACAGTTTATCATAGCAGTCATTCATGTATTACATATAGCTAACTATGATTTTGGGCACATGATTCAAATGATGAAAATGAAAACTACTTATGTTCCAATACAAACACAAAGTACATGAGTCATAATATATATTGTAAAACAAGGAGATGCATATTTATACAGAACATGCACGCTCCTGACATCTTTGAACCTTCCTCAAGCAGCATCTTTAAGATTTCCGGGGACACATAAAGCTGAATTTGCACACTGCAGTAGAGTATAGTTCAAACATTTTACATTTTAAACATATTCATGATGATTATGAACGCTGGATGCCGTCCTCGCCGTGTAGACACTGTCCTGTTTCTTTAGATCTCTTTGCGCCATTGCATATGCTATATTGTACGGCTCTTCTTCCTTCGATCTGCGTTTGCTGTACCTGACCAGGAGGATGATCCCAGTGATGAGCAAAATACCAGAAGTGGCCCAGCCAATGAAGAGAGCTGACCCCAGCTCGTGTTTTTGAGAATCCGGCACCGCTGGGTTGTAGAAGTTTCTGATGATGGTGTTGCCCACCCAGCTGACAGGGATGAGTGTGGTCAAACATGAGAGCAGATACAGACTCCCCCCTAAGGCCAGGGTGATGTTCTTGCTCTTCACATTGTCACCACAACATTCGCTCTTCTGGGTCCCGCATCCTGTGACGAACAAGGAGATGACAACCAGGACTATGGAGAAACACATGAGCCCTCTAGCAGCCTGCAGCTCTGCTGGGAGAATCAGCAGCGAGTCGTACACCTTGCACTGCATCTTGATGTCAGCCTGGTCGATGCAGTTCATCCACAAGCCCTCCCAGAGTTCCTCCATGACGATGAGATTGGCACCGATGAAGGCAGTGACCTTCCAGGTGGGCAAGGCAGTGGCAGCTATTGTCCCGACCAGGCCGATGAAGCCCAGGACCAGTGCCAAGACCTCTAGCTTTGCTCTCATGGTTTAGAGGTTGAAGTGCAGCCTTGTCTCTCGTCTTTCGTCTAATGATAATCCTACTCGGGTGATCTGTTTTACAGAGCTCTAAATCCGTGATAGTATCATGTCTGTAATGTCATCCTACTGGTTTGAGTTGACCTGACCTTTATTCCTACTGGGGGTTTTGGTCCAACTCCAGAGAGTGTTGAGAGATTGTTGATTTAGTTTTTCTTTCAGGCATTACATGTGTCATTGTTGGTCACGCACGACATGCACTTGTCCTGCGTGACAAGGTTGTGACAGTGCTACCAAGTGAATTTGGGTGACTCAAAAGTTTATGTGATGATCTGCATGTCCTCACCGTATCCAATCTCGACTGAACAGATGTAAGTCATGTGGTGAGTGAGTGTGATACTTACATTATGGATCAGTATGGATAAAGCTTATTGCAAAGAAAACAGCCTTCTGTCAGACTACTGAAAACAATTAAATACAAAGATGAATCATGCTCCTTTTTGTCATGTGGAATTGTCTCACAAAAACGTTTACAATGCAAGCTTGCATACAGATGATATCTTAGTGTGCATCAGCTGTTTAGAATAAGCCACGGTTCTATTTCCCAACAATAACATGTCAAGTTTTAGCACATTTTCCTCTAAGATCTCCTCAACCTGGCTACCACTTTGTCTGTATACTAGTGCTACAATGTGCTGTGGCCAGTGTGTGTTGTATTTTGTATTAATAAATTTAAGTGTAGGGTTTTTTTTTTTAGTAAAGGGTGTTAATAGACACTAAAATGGTACATATGCTCCTGAATTGTGCCATACAATCGCTTTCAAAACTCTTTCCCTCCACATGTTTTCATCATGTGATAAGGGCGAATCTGTGTCTGACATCATCTGATAGAATGTCAGATAGTGTGGGACTTTCTGTAACGCACCATCTTGCATTCACATCCTACATCACCCGCCATGACAGTTGTTTTTTCCCCCACTTTCTACTGTGGCTGTTTGAACTTTCATGACTTCTCATGTAGTCAAAGAGCAAATCTTACATTATAGTTCTAAGAGACTGAAAAAAAAAAAAGCCCTATAATGCTGCAATGAAACACTTGACACTTGCTTTACTTAAGACTGAAACTACTCTAAACACGACCAGGTAGATAGTCCAGTCACTGATGAGGAGGAAACATTTCAAACAATGTCACATCTCAAACCTCACTTGATTCGGGAAAAGGCAACACCCTCCTCCTCCTCCTCCTCACCCTGTTTCTGAGAAGTCGCAGAAACAACAAGGGAAGGAGCAACACGCAGAGAGAGATATAGCAGGAGAACTCCTCAAACAGGAACAGAAACTGGAAAGCCTGTCCGACAGGTTTGCTGAGTGATACTATCGTCACATCCTCAGCTGCTTTAAATGTAAACAGATACGGTCATGCAGAGAAACCTGTAACTGTGAAGTCCAACACATCAAGGCTCGGCAGTGAAGCAGTTCCTGTTGCAGACAGAATTTGCATGTGTGACTCTTAATGTGTGACAGATTTGAATAGAAATATCATGTGATTAAACTAAGATTAAATGGAAGTCAGTGAATACTCAGCGAGGTGCGAGTCAGTGTTAGTGGTGTGACCAAAAAAGAAACGTAGGCGACAACAGACAATGTGTGCCACCTGCTGTTTGCAAAATATGATTACACATTGCTAGGCCAGGGACAGGACTGTGAAAATATAATTTTGCATTATTTCTAATATTTAAAAAAAGACTATAATTACCCTTTCATTTTCCTGCCTGCTATCACTTCTAAGGCTGTTTATTTTTAGATGAAGGATTCCAAGATATATACTCAGAGGGGGAGAATCCCATAGATTAAACTGTGCCATTTTATCTCTGTAAGATATGTGTCTGCGCCTTCAAAGCAAGAGTATAGCCAGAAAAACCCTGTTTCATTGCAACACTCGCTGCCATTCGGAATCGTATTGTACTGCTGCGCATCTGACAGCATTAAGTCTAATCTCTCCTCTTTATCTGAAGGAGCAGCACAGCCTTTGTGGTGGCGGTGGTGATTGACAACAATGAGAGGGTGCTGCTGCTGGTGGTGGTGGGAGACAGAATGTCCACAGAGCTTGGAGATAGACAAGTGAAGATGAAGTTGTGAGAACCATCAATTATAGTGTCTAGGGTGTGTGGAAATGCTGATGAAATTAGTCATTGTCACACCAGGAAGTTGAAAATTCAGGGATAAGGAAGATGAGTGTCTACAGCTCATAATAGACACTTGGTGTTCTGTAGCGGCACCACTGTGTGCAAAAAATGCGAAGTTTGGACTATTGAAGGCTCTCAAGGAAAGGCAATGTTGTCATTTACATTGAAAGGATTACTACATCTTAGACTCAACTTCTCAGGCTTAGCTCCGCATTTTCTGACATGTCTTTTAATGATAATTTTGTAATTAGAGGACTGACTTTAACCACTTCTCATTAAGTTAGCTACTAGTGAGGATGAGGTATGTTAAAAGAATTTAACCAAGTAATCCAACAAAACTTCCAAGAAACCGTCTGGCCACTTGTAATTATGCCTGAAACAGAGTTTTAGTTAAGAGAGGGATGAGATAATTATAATTCTTTCTTGGGTCGTTTTCATACATAAGCAGCCTGCCATTACCGCACACACCATGTGATTCAAACTATAGTTCAATTGCTAAACCCTGGTTATACCACTTTCTTCTTGCAGCAGCGTGGTATCTGTCTGATCAACTGTCTGGAACTCTGGTAATGCACAAAAAAGCAAAGGACAAAATAAAAGAAATACTTGTAAATTCCATAACTCTGGTTAAGCTCATATTGTTGCGATTCTAGTCTTGATTTCAGTCGGTGGTCATTTTTAAGGCCATATTTAGTCGAGTTGTCCCCAGTTAAGTGTCTTTCAGTAGGTGTTGGTGAGTGTCTACTATGCACTTCCAATCTACAATTGGCATCCAAACTTTTTGACACCGTTCCCCTTTGTCACATTAGTTGGCAGCGTTTACAACAGCTGCACCTGCATTTTATCTCTCATAAAATCGTGATGACATTTGACGGACAAAAAGAGCCATGCTAAAAGAGGAAATCACAAGCAGACCCTCACCAGCACTCGCTGAAATACATGCGATGAGATTCAATAGCTGCTCAGCACACAAAATGTCCACTTCTGATGATGAGAGGAATCGACAGTGATGGCCTTCAAAAAGCTCACCAAACGTGTACTGTGTTTATTTCATGTAGGCTTGTGTAGAATTTATAGCTGTGCACAAAATTACCCGCTGACCAGCAGACTGATTCAACCAGAGACTAAAAACAAGGTCAGATCCTCCTCTTTTTTATTCTTCCCAATAGTGTTCTCTTTAATCCCCATTCTATTAACATTCTTTAATTTACATTTCTCAGCTGAGCATGACTTTTTCCCCACATGAGATGGTTGATCTTAAAAGGTTGAATGTGTGATTATAGAGAGAGTTTAGCTGGTTAGCAAATTTAGATATTTATCATGTGTCAGATGTCTCTTGCTCCCACTGCTCCCAATCTCCTTTCCCCATTCCCTTGCCCCCATTATGTGTGCATGAGCACAAACCAAACAGGATATGTTGGGATAGTGTTTGGATCTTTGTTTCCCATTTACAAAGCCAGGACAAACACTGGATTTTGTTTTAGCACAAACGTAAAAGCTGCAAGGAGATACCCCCTGATTCTGACAGAAACTGCATTTGATTAGTATCACCAGCTCTACCTTTAAGTGAAAACTACACTTGACTGCAGTCCCTCCTTTATCCTTTCTGTGTTAAGTGCTACAGCTCCTTCACTATCATTCAGAAACTTAATCAGCCGCAGCTTGCAAACACTCAAAGCGGCTTCTGAAGGTTCACTTTTTAGTTTTCTCCTTTTGTTGTACAATTTCAGTCTGTCTCCGGGTTGCTTTGAGGCAGGGGAGCATCGATTAGCTGCTTAGTTCGGTTGTTTTCGGGCTTGTCTGAGCACACTGGACATCTGGGTTTCTCTCACACCGCAAAATTGTTTCGCTGAGTTGATGTCTGCTGAGCTGCAGGGGAGTGAATTACGCTGCAGCATAACACCACGCTATCCGATGAGTCACTGCAGAGAGTGGCTTTGAATCATAATTAGGAAACAACTGTATTTATTATGATATCAATACATTTTCTATATACATACAGTAATAAAAATGCAGTCTTAGTAGCACAATGAGTTGTTTACAAGTATGACTTCTTTCACTGTTCAGGCATACTGCAAGTCTTTCCCCTTGATTGCTTGAGCAAATTTGGACTTTCTTTGTGAAAAAATGATCACGTATGTTGTCGTATGTCGCTAACAAATTAATTTACATATGAATAAATAAAACAGAAAAAAAAACATTGCTTTGTAATTCATTTACCAGTAAACAATCTTTTCGAACACACAAGACTTTCTAAAGAAGCTGATGTGTAAATTATCTACAATACAGAGTGAGCATGTGAACTGTCAAGAATGAATGTGTTTGAGTGAAATACTGAAGGGCAAAAAGGTAAAACTGGACGAAATGGTTTCACAGTAAACGAGGAGACGCATAAAACAGCAAATACAAATTCAAGTAAAACAGGATTATGTTAAATAAAACAAAGTAAAATCCTCTTGTATCTATGTCAAAGAGGCTATTACGTAATTCCACTATTAAGTGTAACAAGTAAAAACAACAAAACGGAAACAAAATATCTTCCAGACTATAAAGAGAGCTTTTTAGTCCGTAAATCAAAAGATCAAAATTATATATTATACACAATAAGGAAGTCTGTTCCCAAAACATGTCTGTGTATATTCATGTGAAAATGTACAAGTACAGTAAACTATGCAAGACAAGACTGTCCTTTGCAATTAATTATTCTATTTATTTAAGGACAAATAATATACAGCCCTTAACTATGATAATAACTCTGAGTCACACAGACAAAACAAATATTAATGTTCTCACAATACCCAAATTTGGCAACAGCAGGCAGGA